ATGATCCGCAGGGGTCCCCAAGGGACCTGGGGAGGGGGTAGAGGGTTTTCTTCTAGATCGAGCGATCGATCTTCCTCTTTTGTTTTCTGCTCATCTGCGTCTCTCCCAAAACGCTGATGATTCGGGGATCCTTTTTCTTCACGCGTCTCCGGCGATCCCTCTGCCTCTAACGCTCTAATCCCAGGTTCAGTCTTGATCTTGACATCTTCTCTCAGGTACTCACGGTGAAAACCCGAGTCACCAGAAGATCCGGGCACGCGCACCATTGTGGTGGAGTGGCGATCACAAAATTTCTGATGTGATCCCGACTCTCCACTGGCGCCTAGACGACCGACTAACGGAGGGGGTACCCCGTATCCGTGTAACTTCCCTTCCTCACCTTGTGTACCCGTCGGTAGGGCGGGCTGCACTCTTCTCGGTGCACTTGAGTCGATGCTGAACTTGACCAGGGTTGGGGATTGGTCGGGGGGGGTCGATCACGTAACAAATCCTCACGCGATCGAAAGTTGTATGGGGGGTGCTCTATGAGTCACCCTGGTCTGCCTTGAGACCGCCTTATCCAAATGTAGATACTTGATCCACTTGATTTCACTTGATCTTCTGACCACTTGAGCCGTCTAGATCTTGTGCCTTGTCCTTTACGTTGTATACTGCGTCCGATCGCAGGGGGTTTTGCTTGGGTGGAGAGTTCTTGTAATCCCTGGCCAAACAATCCAGGGATATTACTTGTCTTAGCGTAACAGAAGCTTTTGATCGTCGGGGGCCAAAGTTATCCGCCCGGAAGAGAAGTCTGCGTGCGTGCTTAGAAGTAAAAGAAACTCTGTTTAATGTTAACCAATCCAATACCAAATCCTACGATTATGCCTATCTGTATGACAGTACCTACTGCCGCGTGTCGTCTTTTCAGGAAAATCAGATCTCGGTATGTGGTCCACTTCGGATACCATCGCGATCTTGATCCGTCGATCGAGGTTACGATCGATCTGTAACCGGTTACATCTTGCTTTCTGGATCGAGGTTACGATCGTCGATCACACTTGCTGATCCCGATCGTCGATCACACTTGTTGATCACGATCGACGATCACGCTTGCTGATCACGATCGACGATCACACTTGCTGATCACGATCGACGATCACACTTGTTGGTCACGATCGACAATTGCGATCGAGCGATCTTCCACCCTGATCGTCATCACAGCCGCGTAATCCTCGGCCAACCGTGGCCATCACATGATCGATCCAGATAAGCTGTCATTCCAATACAATAGCCAAGCATAAATTATGCGATCATTCATCGATAGATCTTGATCGCTCCCATACAATAGTCACTTATAATCCATAGAATATGACTTCCGCCGTGTAAGTGGTCCACATTATGATCACTTTCGATATTGTTGATCAAATTTTTCTTGATCGACTTCACCACAAGCTCAATGGCCTCCGATATCAAGGAGTGTTACAGTCAGGACGAACATTGTCGCCTGCTGTTAGGCCAATTTGGAGGACGAAAGGTTACCCTTCTGTCGCACCTAAAAGCGAAACTAAATCGCTTAGTTACAGTGATGGCCTGTTATGGCATCAGCTGTCACCCTGTGATCCCTTGAGAATCTATGTCTCTCATGACACAGATCTTAGGCTGATGATACTTCACGAGTGCCATGATGCGCCATCTATTGGGCATCTAGGCCGTGAAAAGACATTCTTACGAGTGTCAGAGGAATTTTGGTGGCCCCATGGGTGGCCAACTATATTCGCTCTTGCGAAGAGTGTCAGCGCATTAAGCCTACACCTTCTAGCAGTGCGCCACTGAATCCACTGCCGATTCAACGGATTGTTGGAAGTCGCTCAGTTTGGACTTCATGTTTGGCCTACCGCCTGACCATAAAGGCAGGACGGGGCTCGTCGTCTTTGTAGACAGACTGAGCAAGATGGTGCATTTGGCACCATGTAGCACCAAGATCTCAGGAAAAGAGTCTGCCCTCTTGTTTCTGGATCATCTATATCGACTACACGGGATGCCCGAATCCATAGTATCGGATCGGGATCCGCGTTTTACGTCGGGTTTTTGGCGTCATGTGTTTGATTTGCTGGAACGCAAGCTTCACATGTCAAGAGCCTATCATCCCCAGACCGATGGCCATATAAAACGAGCCAATCGAGTCATGGCGGTTAGTAGAGACTCCTACAGAATGGGGCAAGCAATTGTCATTCGTGTAACTCGCTATCAATAACAGTGTTCACGCTAGTACGGGTGAAACACCGTTTTACATCAACGGACTGCGCCATCCTCGGACGCCAGTCTCGTTTGGACGCAGCCCGATTCTTAATGGGGGAGGACCCCTCACTTCGCTCGGTGCGAATGCCAATGAGGGTCAAAATTGCCCTAGTTACACTGCTAGTTTAGCATTGGTCACGACTCCTATAGGTGCCAATAAGGAGGCACGGTAAGAAATGCCTGTGCTCATTGACGATGACACTATAGTGTTATCAACAGCGTCGACCCATGAACGACCTCTTGGAGGCGTCATAGGCGAGCTTGATGCTAAATTCGTGAGCGAAGATCAGCGCTTCGTGGATGAGCGATTAGACATCAAACGTAAAGTCCGTGACGATGGCAAGCGCACAGGACAAGCAAAAGCAATATGCGGACCAACATGGTCGCAATGATAAACACTTTAGTGTTGGGGACAAAGTGCTATTAAGTACTGCTATCCTACCTCAAAATGAAATTCTGTACTACATGGTGGTACTACTACCTGGTGGTACTACTACCTGGTGGTACTACTACCTGGTGGTACTACTACCTGGTGGTACTACTACCTGGTGGTACTACTACCTGGTGGTACTACTACCTGGTGGTACTACTACCTGGTGGTACTACTACCTGGTGGTACTACTACCTGGTGGTACTACTACCTGGTGGTACTACTACCTGGTGGTACTACTACCTGGTGGTACTACTACCTGGTGGTACTACTACCTGGTGGTACTACTACCTGGTGGTACTACTACCTGGTGGTACTACTACCTGGTGGTACTACTACCTGGTGGTACTACTACCTGGTGGTACTACTACCTGGTGGTACTACTACCTGGTGGTACTACTACCTGGTGGTACTACTACCTGGTGGTACTACTACCTGGTGGTACTACTACCTGGTGGTACTACTACCTGGTGGTACTACTACCTGGTGGTACTACTACCTGGTGGTACTACTACCTGGTGGTACTACTACCTGGTGGTACTACTACCTGGTGGTACTACTACCTGGTGGTACTACTACCTGGTGGTACTACTACCTGGTGGTACTACTACCTGGTGGTACTACTACCTGGTGGTACTACTACCTGGTGGTACTACTACCTGGTGGTACTACTACCTGGTGGTACTACTACCTGGTGGTACTACTACCTGGTGGTACTACTACCTGGTGGTACTACTACCTGGTGGTACTACTACCTGGTGGTACTACTACCTGGTGGTACTACTACCTGGTGGTACTACTACCTGGTGGTACTACCAAGCTATTGCCCCTATTCATTGGACCATTGAAGGTGGTCGAGGAGGTTGAATACCTATACTATAGGCTCACTCTCCCACCGTATATGAAGACGCACCCGGGAATATACGTGGGTCGTTTTGGGCGACTTACAGGTGGGGTCAGCATATTTCGATAGTGTATGACAAGGAGTCAATGCTTTTAACGGGCACTTCAAAAGAAGCTGCCATGTGCTACGCTGGCACACACCTTCACGCACGCGAGGAAGCAGTCAAACCGTCTAACCTCCTTTCGCGGCGGTAGAACGTCTTTAGTCGCCGCTTAAGCGGTGACACGAACGGTTGGCGGTCGCTGAATCGAACCGGACTTCTAACCAAAAGAGCTTCACTTATGACACGCAGAAGCTTATTCAGCTTCTCGTGCTACTCTGGAACACACCTGCAAGCCCGCAAGAGAGCGTTTAAACCATCTAACCTCCGTGCGCGATGGTGGAATGCTTGGTCAAGCGCTTAAACGGTCGTACCAACGGTTGCTGATCGCCGATGCAAACCGCGCAACGAACTTATAAACGAGAGATTTACTACAACACGCAGAAACTGCTGTTAGTATGATAGCATTCAGTAGTAATACGTCACGGAGGTGCTGGTTTTGAGGATTACCGCGATGGCTAGACGCTTTCTGTTTCGAATTCGTAAAGCCCAATGTGCGTCAACTAGGTCTCCAGTCCCTACCTGGCACTCTAAAAGCCGAGTCGTTTGACCATGGCGAAGTACTAGAATTCCTTTATCATTGGAGATTGCGACCGCTGTAAAAGTATCAGTACGATCTTCGCTGATTGTAAAGATAGCTCGGATAGTGCCCCGAAGCGATGCACGATGCCCATCACCTCCGCTATCTGCCCCGCGCGATGTAAAGAAACGTAGAGTAATTGACAAAAGCTGAATTTTTTTGTTCCTGGGTAGGAATGCCTGGATGCCACAACCCCCTTATCTGGGTATTTTGCAATAAGGCTAATGTTAGTATTTCCGCGATAAGAAAAAGGAGTAGTGCTAACGGGCAACCCTTTCGGATACCCGTGAGTACAGGGATCGATTCGGATAGTATCCCATTTACTACAAATCAAGCGGTGGAGGTTCTGAATTAGTGTAAATCCGAAATACCGCTTTACTTCAAATAAAAAATCGTGCGAGACCGTGTCATATGCCACCAGCAAAAATCCAACAATAGAATTGCTCGACTATCAGCAAGCTCCTGATCCGGTTCGAGTTAGGCAAGTTTGATGTATCTCAAGTGCACAAGTCGAAAACGCAATGTTATATGTGGTCATGGCCTTTAATTCAGTTTGTACAATCAGACGACACCGTCAAACCCCAAAAAACCTATTCATCAGAATAACAATCACACGAAATTACTTCGGGTTATTCCCGTTGTTTTTATTTTGGGTCCATCCATATAAAGGCATCACCACCACCACAATTAAAGTATCCAATAAGTCCACATGACGATATCTCGAGACATTACGAAGGACATGAATATGAATCGTCCAATATCTGCAACTGAACAAAATATGAATATCTCAAGATCTACGGAAGAAAATGATGAAAAGGAGGAGGAGGAACCGAACCCTTTTTCACAATATTATGGAATGCTACTGCATCAGCAAAATATGCTGCAGGACCACGTACGTACGGGCACATATGAACGGGCAATGCTATCGAACGTTTCAGACTTTCAGGATAAAGTGGTATTGGATGTCGGTACTGGATCAGGTATCTTGGCTTTTTTTGCCATCAAGGCTGGTGCACGTAAAGTGTACGCCGTGGAACTAAGCAACATGGCTGACTGTGCTCGTGAATTGGTAGTTGCCAATGGCCTCAGTGATCGTATTATAATTATCAAGGGTAAGATGGAGGAGGTGCAGCTTCCGGAACAAGTAGATGTGGTAGTATCGGAGCCTATGGGCTTTTTTCTCGTGCACGAACGCATGCTTGAAACGTTCGTAGCTGCCGGTAAAAAGTGGCGACGACAAACACCGGACTTTAAAATGTTCCCGTCAATTGGCACTATGTTCATGTCGCCGTTCTCAGATGAAAGTATCTACCGAGAACAGATGGCCAAGGCAGCGTTCTGGCAACAGCAGGACTTCTACGGCGTGAATCTATCGAGTCTTCGGGCGCGAGCAATGGACAACCATTTCTCGCAACCGGTAGTCGGGTACTTTCCACCAGAAATGTTACTAAGCTCGCGTCCCGCTGAACACGTGCTCGACTTTGCAGATGTGACGAAAGAACAGCTCGATACCTTTGACTTTCCATTCCACTTCGTGATTGAGCGTACCGCGATCATGCACGGTCTAGGCTGCTGGTTCACGGTCGACTTCCTGGGGTCGGATGCACGAGTCGTGCTCAGCACAGCACCACAGGACACAGGAACACATTGGTATCAGTGCCGACTACTACTATCTACCCCAATCGCTGTTAACGCATTGCAGAGCGTCACTGGCAATCTTCACTTTGTGGCGAACAAGAAGTTTAGCTATGACATCGACCTCGAAGGTGCGTGCCAAGTCGTCTAACATTTTCAGTCCTTGTGTACATTAACTGACGCATTTCGTTCTACATGTTGGCAGTTCATCTCGATGGGACTTCCATCGTGTCAAGGAACCATATTCGACTGCACGACCAGATGTACCATTATCTGTACTCGCCTGGTGCAGGAAGAGCACATGCATCGTAATGCAGTTGCAAAGGGCGGCATGAATCACTTTTTCGTGTTATAAGATTGTCATGTAACCAGAGTGAAGTTGAAAATACGATGATACTGCAATAATGAAAGACACTCACTCTGGAAGCGCCCATGAGGTTGAAAGTATAAGCTAAATATCACTACGAAGTATACGTAGGAAAACCCAGAAATCTCAACGTCAACGGACCACTGTCCCAAGCGTTGCTTCAAACATCCATGATATGGTCAATTGCCTTCTTCACACACGGATCAAAGGCAGCACTCGAGGCAGCAGGTGGAGCCGTGTGGTGATCCTTTGGCGATTTGCCGTTACTCAATTGTGCCGGTAAGAGCTCCATGTCAGGCACAACCTTGGTTGGTGGAATGCCCATGCCCTCGTACAGCTTGTTATCAGCACCAAAAACACGCTGATACGGAATCTCAACAGTCCAGTAGTTTGGCAAACGTAGCTGTCGTGTAGGTGAAAAGCTTCCGGCAGTGGTAGCTCCAACACGGCAAGTAAGCGGTCGCTGCATCAAAGACAGACACAATAGCTCTGCCGTCCTGTTACCATCAAAAACAGCAATTAGCTTGGCTTCATCAAATGATAGAGCACAACGTAACATCAATTCAAAAATTCTGTACTTACCCACGCGTGTATTGGCTCTGTAGAATGGCCAGCGGACCACAGTAGCGTGTGCAGCGCGATGAGTATGGTATGTAATAATTCTTCCTCTTGGAGAATCTCGGCGTCGTACCTGGTATTTTTTCATCCGTAGAGAAAGCCAACGTTGCTTTATCCTCACTGGCAAAGAACGATGCCACAGTCAATGCAACGACATGCGAGCCTCCACCTTGATTAAAGCGAAGATCCAGTATCAGTCCGTCCACATCTCCTAGACCATGCAAGATCGCTTCAAACGACCAACGCATGGACTCCAAGTCATAAATCTCAGGCACAGCCACGAAGCTAGCTGCCAGAGCTCCTCCTCTTCCCTTTCCTTCCAAACCGTCAACATCCAGCAGCATTTTCTCCGAGTCAGCACGTGTACCTGAACGGTTGGCTGTTGACGCCTTTTTCGTCCGAGACGGCACGAGAGCGTCTACTCTTGGCAGTGGAAAGTCCACAAAGCCCTGCATCGCAGTTAAACAAATGTACCCAATCCTCCAACCTGGACACGTTGCAGCGTTCAGAATGCCGTACACAAAGCAATCATTGGCAGTTTTTCGACCATTTTGAGCCAGGTGTTCTCTCTTGATAACAGCCATTGTCTGTTGTTGGTATCTCAGTGCTGCTGCACTAGGTAACTTGCGTCCTCGTACGGTCAACGTCCTTGATCCTGCAGGTCCCGACATGGATGCAGCAATCCTTGAGACTGCAAGTGACGGGTCATCACACATACATACACTATCCTGCAATGCAATCCATAGATCATCATCACTTGTACTTGATTCAATCGTGTCTCCAAATAGCTGTCGAACAAGCTGCCAATCGACACGTTTTGGCTCCAAGAAAGCGTAATGATCCTGCATGGCACGCCAAAAGCTGTGGAACGTCAGGACGGGATCCCGTGAGTACGTCACACGTGCAAAAATAGCACGTAATAGCTCCAGAAACAATCGCAATAAGATTCCATGCAGTGTCATAAAGATGACCAGTGCACCGCCTATTACGGGCACATGACGTCGTAAAAAGCTTACAGGTAGAATCGCTATCGACTCGTAGAGCTCCAATGGCCATAGAATTAATACCTGCAGTAATGTATCGGGAGATAACAACCAGTTTAGACGTAAGAGCCATGACTTTTGCAGGGACATTTTCAATTCACAAATGGCTCGAACAATTTTTTAACGTGGAACTGAACTAGAAAGATGATGAGACGGTCGTGTCATTTGGTGTGGAATACATAAACGGGGAAACATGCGACATGAAACCAAACATGTTTACATTTTCACTAGTCGGATGACGAATAATCAGATACTTGTCACAGAAAAAACTTAGGACAGTACTTCAATCACTTAGGACAGTACTATAATCATTTAGGACAGTACATTAATCACTTAGGACAGTACTATAGGACTCGTATAGCACTAATAGTCATAGACTGCTGTAGCGGTGTTGCTCATGTGGGAGGATATTGGTGAGATGCTCTTCAATGTGCTCGCGCACCAGTGGCGAGAAGACATCGAGTTGCATTTGGTTATTAAACATGGCATCGTGACCGAACTTTGAGTCCACTTCGACTAGTCGAGCACTGTGGCCGTACGACTGTAGAATGCTGACCAAATTGCGCTGCTCTTGGATCGGGATCAGTAGGTCCTGTTTGATGCCAATGATGAGGGTATTGGCGGCGATTCGGCTCGTTCCTTCGGCCAGATTCAACGAGTTGCGACCTAAATTCGCGAGATCCATCGCCTTTGACAGCAACAGGTAGCAATTCGGATCAAACAGACGAGCAAATTTACTCGATTGATAGTCCATGTAACTCTCGACTTCAAACGTTGCCGTCTTAAAGTGCATAGGGCCCGTTGGATTCCAGTCAAAACGGGCATCAAACTCTTCACGTGAGCGGTAGCATGTCATGCCCAGTTCACGTGCCACCTTCATGCCTTCAAGAGGCACATCAGGCGAATAATTGCCATCATTGTACTTGGGATCAGCAAGGATAGCACGTCGTTGTACTCGACGGAAGGCAACTGTTCCGGGGGTGGTTTGGTGCGTGCACGCAAGACCTACTAGACGATTCAAGCGGTCAGGAAACTGAGCTGCAAACTCTAAAGCCTGAATACCTCCCATACTAGCACCAATTACAGTGTGCACGCTGTCGATGCCCAAGTCATCCAGGATTCTCGCGTGACAGCGTGCCATGTCCGCTGGTGTCAGTTGCGGGAATGAGGCTTTGTATCTGTCGCCTGTAAGTGGGTTGACCTTGAGTGGCGAAGTGGCACCAAACGGACTGCCGAGCACGGACGGGCAAATGACGCGAAAACAGGACGTGTTGATGGCCTTGCCAGGACCGATCATGTTTTCCCACCAGCCAGGCCGCGGATCATCGCGATTCGAGGCGGCGTGGCTCGAGTGTGAGAAGGACGGCAGCACCAGGATGGTGCGATCGCCAGACAACGCACAGTCGCCCCACTGTTCCCACTCAATGGCCACCTCTGGCAATGAGTCGCCAAGTTCCAGCGGGAATTCTTCCTTCAGAATGGACAGGTATTTATTGCGCGTGAGTATGCAATCACCGCCGTGCTTGGGGTCCACTACGTACGACCGTTGCTGCTGTTGGACGGTGCTGCAGCCGAGTTGAGAAGTCAAGGGCCTTTGGCAAAAAGCTGTTCGTGCTACACGACTGATAGAATTACCGATGGTTCGACTGCACTTAGGCGTACGGTCATTCTTAAGGAGAAGGGCTAACCGGGTGAACATGATTCTTACTATCAAGAGCCTCGGGTGGAAGTACTTCTACAGAGGCTCGAAGAACAAAGGTGACGAGGTGTTATGTCGACACTCTATTGGTTCTAGCATTCTTCGGTTGTAATGGGAATTGCAACGCAGTGTGACCATACCGTCCATTCTTCCGTGATAGATAATGACTTGCCGGCCACCGTTTGTCAAAACGAAAGCACCTAGTGGAATATCATCCCAGTGCTCTTGACGTTCGAGTAGCGTGTCTAAGGCAGCCACATTTACAAGTTAGTGGTGTCAACCCATCATACTCAGTCTTGTACCGTTGTCAATGATCCCGATGTCGCAGGATTCAAACTAGGCTTGCACGTAGCTACCAAAGACGAAATCGATCGCGCCGTTGATATATGTGCGGGCGTAGAGCTCGAGATCCTTGTCGGTCAACACAGTGTCCTGGTACCCCGTCAAACTGCAAGCATAGAAGCCATAGTTGGTAGCGTTGACGTTTACAGCGAGCGCCTGGCCAGCGTTACTAGCCGTGTTGGCGATATTGAGGTTGTATACCTTCACATTGTCCGTTTTGAAACGCATGGTGCTGATCAAAGTCATTTTTTGCTCTACCTCCACAAGGATATCGCACGCAGCACCAGTGGACCTGACAAGTACTTGCTTGTTGTTTAGACACCCGTAGAATTGCACCAACGTCATCTGAGGATTCAGTTTTGCCACACCCTCTGAAACAATGTAGACGCTGTTCTTGTACGAGCTCATGGCAGTAACAACATTAGCACCTGTTGGAGAGTCCGTTCGTGTATCCAGTCCTTTGTATGAAGAGCATCTAGCTACAGCGCCATCAAATATTACCAATGGTGAGTGTGAAAAGCTGCAATTGAGTTGGTCAACAAGGACAAGTAATGAAGGAACACAGTATTCAATTGTTTGTACATCTGCAAGTAATGCAACTCGTTTCTATTTATCCCCTTCCCTCCCAAGTGGTATCACAAACGTTTAAAGCAGTCGTTCAAGCTACGAAACCAGCCGTACTTCATCGTAGATGGGCAAACGTTTGCCATGTTGTAAGTTAGGATTGAGTATATGCATCGGATCTCTTTGATCCGTTACAGCTACTGACTGACTAGTAAGTACCTCATACAAAATCATATACTAAATTCCGACTCTATGTAGCCATAACAAGAGTTTAAGTATTTAAAGCTTTGATGGCAGAGGTATCACCTCTCAGACGTTACGTGGGCAGATGTAGAGCTATTCTAGTATCAATACGACTCGGCGATAGTGAAGCATCCGATCGATGAAAAATTGTCAAAGCATCCGTGTTTTTGCACCAAATACTTCTCAAGACTGGTCATCCGAGATTATCCAGTCAATAAAACGCTCTCTTCGTCCTAGGTTGTTCTTGGAAGCAAAAGGTAGTTAGTTGGTCGTCAAGGCTCGCACTTGGATTTCCAGACTGCTTCAGATCGATACACATATATATATGATGGCAACTCGAGCTAGTCGTCCCCGGGGTCTATCAGCAAACCATGTCAATGAGGAGGAACGATTGCAGACCATCATAAATGACAAGTCCACTCTGTCTTCCGTACGTCTACTTGGAAAGAAAAATTGGGTCAAGATGGACGAACGTCCCAATTGCTTTTACTGTGCTCGCAAGTTCCGACCATTCTCGATCAAACGCCACTGCCGTTCTTGCGGGGAGATTGTCTGCTCCAACTGTTATCGCCGACGCAGAGTGAGTGTGACCCCAACACTGGAAGTCACGGTGCGTCTCTGTTTTGACTGCATCGACAAAGCCATGCTTTGTGCTGAAAAAGAGAACCTTGGCAAGAGTGCAGTTATCATGAAACAACTGGGCTCTGACGAGGATGGCACCGAGATAATCGACAATGAACAGTGCAAGCTGGACGGGAAGAAGACCTTTGGAGCCTGCAGCCTGCAGACCACTAGCACTAGCACATCTTCTTGCAGTCGCTTTTCGGAATTCTCGGCCTTTGACAACTCGAGCGATGGAAACAGTGACGCAAGCGACAGCAGTAGTCGTGGAGGGTCGATTTTGGGTTTTAGCCGTCGAGGACAATCCGTCATTCCAGCAACCGAGCTGATTGAATTTTTTCATGAAGAGGAACAGCTCAAGATCTATGACGCCCGTAGGCACGAAATCCTTACACAGCTCAAAGTGCTGGACACCGAACCTGAAAAGGAATACGACGCGCTCTGTGAGCTGGTTCGGCAGGTTTTCGACAGCAGTGTGGCTGCAGTGGCGTTTATGGACCAGACTCGGCAGTGGTACAAGGCACGATACGGTATCGCCCAGGCTGAGCTACCACGCGACATTGCCTTTTGCTCGCAGTTGTTGCAGACGCCACTGCCGACAATAATCATGAACGCGACCAAAGACTCTCGTTTCAACCAGAACCCGCTTGTCACGGGCTCAGCTAACATTCGTTTCTACGCCACAGCACCTATTTGTGATCCCAGCAGTGGCATCGTTATCGGTTCAGTGTTCGTCATGGATCCTAAGCCAAAACAGAAACTACCACCACGTGCGATGGAGATGTTGTCATATGTATCTTCAGCCATTGAAAAGCTTCTTCAAGGCGAAGCCTCTACACTTGCTGCTTCTACCATGAATCAGAAGCTGTACACATCAACTGGTCATTCCATGCGCCGAGAATCGTTGCCACTATACCCAGAAAATCGAACTGCTTCTCTTCGGAGCGTACCTGAGGACATTGAGGATGTTGACTTTTGCCATACCCCCTTACGGTCGAATGCATCCAGCTCGTCATTAAACAGTAGCTTGTGGAACAGCCAGCGTAGCAGCTCGCGGAGTAGTCAGTGTAGCAGCTTGCGGAGCAGCCAGCGTAGCAGCTCGCGTCGCTCGGGGTCTAAAAGACCGGTATCAGCTTCAAATTTACAATTGCGACATCAGTCACCGGACTCGAACGGAGGATCGACGTCTTTGGAATCACGCAAGTCTTCCAACACGTCCAACTCAAAGCTCAGTATCAATGATCTGGTCTCTGCGGAACCACTGAAAATCATACCAGCGCAAGAGGCAGCTCCAGCTCAGTTGAAAAACGTCGACTGCAATGAACTCTTTCGCCGCATCACTTCCACCCAAGAGCTCTTGGCTCAGCAACACGGTACTCTTTTGGCGACGTTAACGCAGCACTCATCCCGTATCAGCTCTATCGAAAAAACCGTCGACCGAATTGAAGGTATCTTGTCCATCCAGCAAACACACAGCATGGTCCGTCTTGTCGACTCGCCGGAGCGGTGGCCAGTGGATTTGTAGCTAATTTGCCCGAAAACGTAGCGTGTGAAATCCGTCGATGTCATGTGGCCGCTCTGGGAGACATTCCTCCCAACCGGAAGTAGAGTGTAACGTACGCTTGTGTCTTGTAGCGCTTCAACAAAGTGTATTCTCTTTTTCTCAAATCCTAATGCAGCTGTAGCACTCACAACCCAGAGCAGTGAAAACACAGCTTTGGGATTCACTACCCAGAGCAGTGAAAATAAGTCAAACGTTGCCCATCAAATCAACGACCAAGCGATCATCATCGTGAACATTGGTCGAACGTGTTTGCACCAAATCTCCTTATATGCGGTTCTCATCTACCCGCCGCCCTTCATATTGATCATTAATTGATGTGTGCTGTATTGCCTTCGTTGATACCAGCATCGCCTATATCTTCATCACCAAAGTCTTCATCATCACTGTAGTCTTCATTGTTTAAACTTTTATCCTCATCAAAGCCGCCCTCTTTGCTAGCATGCTTCCCAATATTTGACTCCAGCATGACAGCGTCTCCATCCAGCAGCACGCCCAAGTTTTCAAGCTCGTCTTTGTACTTGGCACTTTCGTTGGCATAACGAATGCCGTGACGTATGTGGCGCAATCGAAGGCCCAGATTAAGCCCCCAAGCAGACTGTGGGTACGGTTTCTCGTGTGGTACAACAAAGCTGCCGACCATGTCTTTACAACTGCCATGCAATTTTGCATAAACTTGGAATGAGCATAGCAAGACATCCTTCCAGTACTGTTCGACATGAGGTGAAAGGTTTCTCTCGGTGCGAGGACGACGGACCTTATTGTCCATCAATACCGTTTTCTTCGTGTCGTCATGTGTCTGGAATGGAAGCAGTCCGATTGTGCGCTTGTTGTACTGGGTGAGCCACGCGCCTAGCTCGAATCTTTTAGCAATATCTGGATAGCGCGAATCATCTGCAGGTACTACGAAATTGCGTGATATCTCTGCGCCTTCACCATTAATCTCCTTGTAGACCTCAAGACTGGGATCTACGATATCGCGCTTAGTAGCTGCCGGGGACTTATAGATGCTCCATACAAAACCGATTTTTTTAAGACGCTCACGGTACAACTCTACATGTTGCGCGTGTGGATGGTGAATGCGTATCTTGTGTACAATATGACCAAGCTTTGTTCCCCACGAAGGTTGCGGCCATGTGCTCTCGGATGGCACGATGAAGCCTTGAGGCACATGCGTATCGCCGTAAATTTTCACATACACTTCTAACGCCGGCAATACACGATCAACAAAAGTACTTTCGAATGCATTGAACTTGAAACCAAGAGCACCCAACTCCGTTAGCACATCCGCCACGGCGGCATTTCGACGTCCAGTACGCCTGATTTGAACCACTTGTTTGCCAAGATGATAACCGCGTAGCGCCTTGGGCCAGGATGCATCGTTCGTTGGCACGACCCACCACGATGGTATATCACAGTTGCCAAACTTAGCCTTGTAAAGACGTAGAGCCGGCAGTAACTCCTTGACCCACTTCCCGAATAGCGAGCCCCATGCATAGCCAATCTTTTTTAGCTTTTGTTTGTCATTTTCCATTTCAGCTCGAAAAATGACTGTCGAGTTAATAGTTTTGACAATGTATCCCAGCTTGATTCCCCATGCACGTTCTGGCCACGGTGTGTTGCTAGGCACGACAAAGTCTTGTGCAATGAATGTGTCACCATAGAAAGTCGGATAAAGTTCCAATGCCGGCATTAAGGCATTTCGCCACATGTCAGAAGCAAGTTCTGTTTGAAAAAAGCCAAGATTTTTTAAATCTGCTACTTGATGGGGTGACAGCATGTGTTCTTCGAAATTATTCTTGATTTTTGCTACAGCAACACCCAATCGGTATCCCCAGCTCACTTGTGGCCAAAAAGTGTCGTTCATCGGTACTTTAAATGTATGATGAACATTGCAATGTCCATAAATGTTCTTGTACTTTTTCAAGGCCGTAAGAAATTGCATTTCCCATTTCCATTGAGCATCACTCCAGATAAAACCCATAGCATCTAATTGTTGTTTACGTTGCTCGGAAAGACCGTGATCAGCATTTCGACGAAAGATTTGACACTGTGATCCTAATTTGACCCCCCACGTTGATCGTGGCCATTTGGTATCACCAAAAGGTATTTGAAAATGTTGTCGTACAAATAAATGACCTTCTTCCTGTTGAAAAACTTTTAATCCTGGAATAAGTTGCATTTCCCACACATAAGTTCGCCAATCGGGAAATAAAAAACCAATACTTTGCAATAGTGCACTTGTATACGGAATATTTCGACCACGTGTAAAGATTCGTAATCGTTTGCCTAAATCCATTCCCCAAGTCTCTTTTGGCCATAAGGATGACGTTGTCGTGTCATCCTCATTCGATGGTACGACAAATTCAAATGGGACAGTAAAATGACCTTCTAAACGGTAATAAACTTGTAATGCAGATAGTAATTGACGATCACGATCAGTTCGAGGTACAATTGGGAGTGAAGATGTAACGATATGACGACGTTGCATCAAAGAGGAGATGCCATGACGTCGAAGGAAGAGGTACTTCATATTGTGACCACACCTTTGATGAAGTTGTAGTACTTTGGGGGGAATTGTAGTACTTTTGGGTAGTACTATATGTGTACTCAAATAGTAGTTTGATAGTAGTACTGCGATATGCAAATGGTTGGGTCTTTTTGAATAACACACTATGGACTTGAACCACCCATCGAGGTTTTTTCTTTGCTTGAAGTATCTAAATTGCAGCAAAACATCACCGTTTGATGCGCGTAAACATACATACACACACTCCTGCCAATCTCAGTTTTCCTTTTGCGCGTCTCAGTGCGCAATAATTTCTCCGCATTATGTTCCCCCGTCTAAATCGTTCCGTCGTCGTCTCTAGTCGCTCCATACGCGGCTTCTCCTCGTCTTCGATCGTACGTCTCTCTTTCTATTCTCTCTCTCTCTCTCTCTTACATTCTACACCTCATTTGATCTCTTTCTCTATCGCTTTAGGAACGTGTCCCGCTCTTTATCAATGGTAAATTCATTCAGTCCAAGACGGACAAATGGATTGACGTTCGTAATCCGGTACGGACATCGACACGACATAATATAACGCCCATATACTCAGTTCTTACTACATTATATATATACTACACTATACAGGCAACAAATGACGTGATCTGTCAAGTACCTGAAGCCACACAAGACGAAGTATAAACATGACACGCTCTTTGTTCAGTATATCGACAGAATCCCATGATGACGTAATCGTATGTCTATGCTTTTTTTCCTTCCTGTATATAGATGCGACAAGCAACAGAAGCAGCTGCACGTGCCTACAAGACATGGAAAGAAGTGGGTGTTCAACATCGTCAACGTGTGATGCTCAAACTTCAGCATTTGATTCGTCAACATACCGAAGAGCTGGCCCTTTCTATCACTACTGAACAAGGCAAAACACTTGCTGATGCTCGTGGTGATGTCTTTCGTGGACTTGAAGTTGTGGAATTTACTTGTGGAGCGGCAACACTCATGATGGGCGAGACAGCGGAGAATTTAGCCACGTCACTTGATACGTACTCGTATAAACAACCACTTGGTGTCTGTGCTGGTATCTGTCCATTTAATTTCCCAGCTATGATCCCATTGTGGATGTTTCCTACTGGTACAGTGACTGGAAATACATATGTACTCAAACCATCCGAAAAGGACCCGGGTGCTACAATGGTAAGTAGAAAACTTGTAGCTTGATGATAAGGTTGTCTCTATGCACAGCTTTCAATGTTTTGTATCTTGTGTTTTGTGTCTTGTGTTTCGTGTTGTAGATTCTTGCTCGTCTAGCACAGGAAGCGGGACTCCCGGACGGTGTGCTCAATATTATCCACGGTGCTCACGTACGATATACGATGCTTCCACTTGATCTCTGTACAAGAGTTGACGATAATTACTCTTTTGTTACTTTTGCAGGATACTGTCAACTTTATCTGTGACGCGCCGGAGATCAAGGCCATTTCGTTCGTTGGTGGCAATCAAGCGGGTGAATACATTCATTCGCGTGGTAGTGCCAATGGCAAACGTGTACAGGCCAATCTAGGTGCCAAAAACCATGCTGTCATCATGCCTGATTGTGATAAAGAGCAGGCGATTGGTGCTCTTGCTGGTGCTGCTTTCGGAGCTGCTGGTCAACGTTGCATGGCGCTCTCGGTCGTGGTGTTTGTCGGCAAGTCGAAGGAGTGGGTACACGATATCGTGGAGAAGGCCAAAGAGATGAAGGTGAATGGCGGTCTCGAGCCCGACACTGATGTGGGGCCGCTCATCACGGTAGCGGCGAAGGAGCGTGCCGAGCGTCTCATTCAAGAAGGCGTTGACAACGGTGCGGACCTTCTTCTTGACGGACGCAATGTAAAGGTCCCCAAGTACCCCAACGGAAACTTTGTGGGTCCTACGGTGTTGAATAATGTCGATGCTGACAATCCGGCGTACGTGGAAGAGATTTTCGCTCCCGTGTTGGTCTGCACTTCCGTGGACACGCTGGAAGAAGCGATCGAGTTGATTAACCGCAACCCATACGGCAACGGTACCTCGATTTTCACTTCTTCGGGTGCCGCCGCTCGCAAGTTCCAGCACGAAATTGATGTGGGTCAGGTCGGTATCAATGTGCCGATTCCTGTTCCTCTGCCCATGTTCTCCTTCACTGGCTCGCGTGCATCGATTCGTGGTGATCTGAACTTCTACGGCAAGGCGGGCATCAACTTCTACACGCAGCTAAAGACCGTGACGTCGCTGTGGGACTACAACGAGAAGACGCGCTACAGCGCCGTGATGCCGACACTCGGTCAGAAGTAAACCGTGCGCGTAATGAAACTGAAACATCGACACATCATGCTTCGAAGTACCAGCGTACATGTAAGTTCAAACAGGCAACTGACATTTGTTTTACTGTCTGTATTCACACTGCATCATTCCTAAAAGTGGGTGTATCCACAACAAGCTTCGTGTACTATTTACATTGGATGGAAATGGAAGTCAGCGTCTCCGCCCACCACGACCACCACCGCGACCACCCCCGCGGCCACCACGATAGCCGCCCCCACCACTGTCATTACGATCACTTCTTTCTTCGTCGGCTTCCGAAATCTTCGTCTCCTCAAGCTTTCGTCCGTCAGGCTCGGTCAGCATGCAGCGGTTGGCGTGGTATTGATTGACAAACATCTCTAGTTGTCCCGCAGCATTAGCAGCACCTGTCTTTGCGTTCTTGCTCAATCGCGGGCACACGTCACGCGCAATGAGCACCAACAGCTTGTGAAATTGTTTCTTGTAGTTCCGCCAAAGCTCGAAGCCAGCTACTTCCAATATCGTGAGAGTTAGAGCGCCAGTCATGAGGTGTGGCGGTTCATTCAACAGCCAAGCGAGCCATGACCAGCAATCACCAAGATCAAGACCTGGCGGGGACGGGCTGCCGTCCCATGGGGCAGTCTGGCGCACCGCAGCTAGTACAGCAGAAATCATCGTTATGCGTCTCGTGTACTCCGTTACGTGCTCAAGGCCATCAGGATCAGAACTGTCGCCGACAGCCTTGTGGAAGCCCACAGATATTTTATACTCTGCTATCGATTGTGACGCATGCTTCTCTGGACTGTCAGGAATAGTGAAGACGCAGGTCGTGTGAAAGTAACCCAAGATGACGTCTGTGAGCTCCGGGGTTTGCACACAACTCATCTTGATCACGTGTGCAATTGGGTAACAGGATCTGCAAAAACGAGAATAGGCAACCCGGTTGGCAAAATCAAAAGGTGACAGTCCCACCAAAAAAGGAGAGCACACTTACTTGTAATCCGCACGACCCTCTACCTGTTTGGAAAGATTCGAGGCGACCATGTCGAGCGCGAATTTAAAGTACGTCTTACCTGAGGTCTTTGCCATCTGCAAAAGTACACACTCAGCCAAAGACGCTACTACTGTTGGACGAGATTTACATTGTCGTACCTGTAGAAGTCGCTGAATTTTGCTCACGACATTTTTGATAGCGGATGGGGCAGCTGCAATTTGGTTGCAAGCTCCAGCCTGCAAGCACATACGTGTTTGTAAGCCACTACCCAAGCAAGAGATACTACATGAGCACCTACCTCGCGCCTGATCTGCATACGGATCTTCTTCACCGATGGATCAAGACTAGCTAAAATCTCAGCAGTCTCGCGATGGAGTGCTTCCAACCGTTTAATGCACTCACGTCCTTCTTTCACATGCTTTTTTACTTGAGTAGCTGCTTCCCTCTCAGCAGCTCTTTTTGCAGCTTCTACTTTTTCACGCTCCGTTTCTTGCTTTTTCCACGCCGCTGCACGTTCAGCAGCTTGAGCTTTCGCTTTCGCTTGTGCTTCTTCCAATTCATGTTCCGCCTTCCGCTGTGCTTCCTGTGCCTCTTCTTTCTTCTTATCCTCTTGCAATTTCTACGTCCACACACACAAATATCATCATCACAAAGAAACACACAACACCTTCACAATAACACGTAATCTCACTTTTTCATAAGCTTCTTGATCCCGCCGGACTTGTGCTTCTTCTTGCTCTCTCTGCTCTTCTTCTCGTCGTTCTTCCTCCTCCCGTGTCTGTTGATAAACACACAATTTCTTCTCCACATTATCAATAGCCAATCTCTCCATCCTATGGATCTACACCAAGCACAAGCACCACAAACGACCCACGTTAGTCTCCCTTCTCTCTTCTCTCTCTCTCTCTCTCTCTACCTGCTGTAACTTGACCGTGGCTTCTCTCTCCAGCTGTTGTTGCTTCCTCAATACATCCATCTCTTCTCCTACCCCTTCTTTATCCACATCCAGTCGTCGTAATTGACCTTCTGCTTTCTCTCGAGCCCGCTGTAAAGTCTCACATAATACTTGATACGCTTCACTACCAGCTACAGACTGCGCTGCTTTTCGTTCACACAAACGTTCTACCTGTTTCAACAGCTCATGACGTGAATTGTCCGTTAATTGCAGCGTTTCTAGTGCCAAAATCGCTGCATTTTGACCATTGACGTCACTGTGTAGTAGACTCTTTTCATCGTCACTGGACGTCGTCGAACTGTCCAAACTGGGCGCACGGAACCGTCTACGACCTTCTGCAACATCTACGCAGCACTGTTGTATCCCCTGTATGTCCCAATACGCGCTAGTTGTTGCAGTAAGAGCAGACAAAGCAACCTCCTCCTTCAAGGCGACGCCAAACCTCATACTGGACAATAAAAAAGAGAGCTCCAAATGGGACTATTTTTTTGTGTCAATGTATTTGTAAAATACGTGTGGTGTACATGAATTGGACCGAATGTATGAACCGTAACCGTAATACAAAGAACCGCAGGACGTCTCCACCATTCATATTGGTCTTACAGTCGACATCACGTTATACCCAAGTGAAAACCCACTCGCCTTCTTCCTTTCTTCGTGACCCCGAAAACAGCGTAATTATGGTAAGCTGCTGTGTCTATAGGAGATCAAATGACAGACATGAATTGGAGAAACAAATAGAGCGAGAGAGAGCGAGCAAATGACTTGAAGTTCGTGCCAAAAGACACCAAGAAACCGTTATAACGAGACCGTGACGCAAAAGAACGATTGCGAGGAAGAATGGACGTCTATTTGCACGTTAATTCAACGCATTGTTCTATTCATTACAGTCTTTCATCAAGCAGATCACTCTCTCGCTCTCTCTCGCTCTTTCTATAAGCTTTTTTAGTGTAAAACTGTCACGGACTAACGCTATTTTTCATGTTTTTCTTGCCTTGTTTCAGCCTCGTGACCTTTTGCATCCCACTGCTGCTGATGAGGCTTCCAAGCACAAGCTTCGTCGTCTTGTCCAGACACCAAATTCGTACTTTATGGATGTCAAGTGTCCTGGTTGTTTCAACATCACGACAGTCTTTAGTCACGCTCAGACGGTTGTTCTCTGTGGATCGTGCTCTGTCATGTTGTGCCAACCTACGGGTGGTAAAGCTCGTCTTACTGATGGCTGCCAGTACCGCAAAAAGACCGAGTAAGTTTAGTTGTGGACCACTCAGGAGCTGGACTGGCGGTCGGTCTCCTTGGCAGAAAAGAACGAGATACTTGACGATGAAAGAAGAGGAAAAAGGAGAAACCAAGTTGGCTGTGCTTGCTCGGGAGATTTTTTTAGGTTCAGCTCGGACACTTTTACTCGCTCAGGGACTCGATGGATCTGTGAAGAGAGGAAGCTTTTTTGACCTTTCCAGGTCGACTGAATTGGGTTGGGATGCTATTTCTATCTGATTCATTGGAGTTGTAGCTGCTAACGTAAATCGAGGGACGTAAGAGTTGATTATTTTGCGGGGTTTCATCCATTCGATCGTCTTTTTGTCGTCACTTCCTTTGCCGGTGGTAGTGTCAAGTGTTTTTGGCTGTAGAAGCTGTAGGATGGAGGGTTCAGACGTGGTCGGATCAATGTGTGATAGGCATGTGGTCGCTTGATTTTATTTGTTATTGACTCACCTTCGTGCGAGCACATTATGTTCGTCATATCTACGTATAAGAACACCCAGTTCTGTTCTGTTCATGAACGGCCGCCGCTCACTATATTTACTTGCCAGCAGGTCACACGTACCCGATCCCACACCCTGATGGGGCAGCTACAGTAGTCTGGTTGCTTCATTTCCACTAGCAAGCATTGTGTCGATAAGTACATGTATACACTTACGCGTGAATAGCAGTTCTATCCTTTTCCGCCACAATCCACAAGCTATCATCTTCCAGGTCCAAGCGTTCGGCGAGTGCCATGATAGACCCCGTCTCCAGCAAGTACGACACCAGTTTGTCGTTTGCATCGACCATTTCGTCCAGTACATCGACCTTGACTTCATCTTCTGTTGCAGGTTCCTCTTCTTCGTCGGGAAAGGTGGCCGCACCGCCATTCTCTTCCTCCTCGTTCGATTCATTTGAACCGTTATCCGAGGCAAAGTCGTCTACATCCTGCCGTCGACATCGACCTCCTCCTCCTTCACCTCCTGACTTAGTTGACGAAGCCTCATCTGAAGACGAGTCGTCCTGCTGTTGCCCCCTTTGCCGTTGGTTTTGTTTTGATCCCTTACCATTGCCTGGGGTCGTCTTTTGACCACGAAGCAAAGCTGCCTTGCGCTCCTTGGTACGCTGGCGCTTCTTTTGACGCTTGCTACGCTTCGAAGCCTGGCGTGCCTGCTTTTCATTCACCTCCTTCTCCGTTTCTTCCTTCCAAAGACTCTCCTGATACTTCAGGTGGAAGACCGTGCAGTTGCAGTTCTTGCACACGTTGCATTTGCACTCTGCGCAGAAAAAAGTATCATTCGAGTGTTTCGAAAACGGGCCGAGACAGATAGCGCACGTGACAAAGTGTTGCTGCCAGATGCGCGAAGCACGCTTCGCCACTGTAGCCGACTTGTGTGACACCAGCGTCTCTATGTTCGCAGAAGCCATGAGACTTGCATACGGATTAGGGGAGTCCGTGCGCTTCGACTCCAGCTCACCAACCTGAAGAATGCGTTCCAAACCTTCCAGCGCCATCATTACCATACTCGTTTCCTCCAAGAGATTGCCTAGGATCTGAATACAGCCCTGATGAACGAGGTACTCAATTTGACTATCCGATCCGCATGATGTAGCATTAAGCACTACCCAGCACGCTTCACTCTTCACTTCAGCATCTGTTGTGTCTGACGCGGCCAGCCCCATCAAGGACGGGATACATCCTGAGTCAAGCACGCACTGGATTTGATCTACTGTGCCGGCTGCAATGTTTGATAGAGTCCAGCAAGCCTCTTTCTGAATTTCGCGATTCGAATGTGCAATCAGTCGCCGCAACGAAGGCACAGCACCACACTCAATTATGTGCTGCGTGTAGTCGTGGTCATCTTCAGCGCATACAATGTTTCCAATTGCACGCAGAGCTGGTTTCGTGACTCGCCAAGACGAGTGGCTCAGAAGCTCAACAAGCCGAAAGCACACGTCCGAGTCAACTACAGCCTGAATGTGTGTACTAGGCCCATCGCACAAGTGCGAATATGCCCAGCATACGTGGCTCAAGATTTCCGTGTCTGTACTCGTTAGCATTTTGGCCAGATACGGCAAGATAAGGCCAATATCAAACACTGGCCGCGGTTGGCCATCACACAAGTTACTAATAGTCCAAGTCAAGATACGAAGCAGCGACAGACGATCCCAGGAGGTCTTCTTCAGATTGTTCACAAGTGGCATCAGCGCTCCAGCGCTCAGCACGAGGTCCCTCGTTGCTGCCCCTTCACCGGCCAAGTTACCAAGAACCCACACGGACTGCTCCAGCACCTACTCCATCCACCCCATGTACACGCAAACTCAGCAACCAGGTCACAATGTGCCGATAGGAGACCATTTCTCCTACTACCAGCCTACCTCTTCATTGGACGAGTCCAACAACGAAACGAGTGTCGGAATCACCCCATTTTGTAGCAGCACCGATGTGTTGTCCGTGGCTCCTGCTGCAATATTTGTAAGTGCCCACAGCGCTTCCACTTGAAGAGTCGGTCGATCTCGCAGTCGTAGCCACTTAATAAGTCGTGGCGTCCAGTTCTTTTCTAGCATCTATACGTCAATGAAAGACGAGCCCATAATGATCAAAACAGTCACAGCATTGTACTCGTCAGTAAAATAATGTCACTCTCCTATACACACAGGTATACCAATTCATACCTGACGAATCAGTAGATCACGTTCCGATGATAACAGCACCCGCAACTTCTTGGCCGCTTCCAGTTGAACATCAGCATCTTCCGAGTTCAATCCTGCATCGATCTGATTCAGATCACCTTGAAAAGTAGCTGAAGCAGTCAAATTTCCAGTAATCATGGATCCATTGAGTCCATTTCTCCCTAGATTTCCACTTGCAAGTCCACTAAGACTACCATTCGCCAAGAGATTGGCTCCATGTGAAAGATGATGATGATGATGATGATGAGCATGAGAATGCAATGAAAATTGTGGTGTTAAAGCTGCAGTCGAAGTTGTGACTCCTGTTGGAAGAGACACCCCAGAGCTTCCCATGTGATGAATTGTTGTAGTTGTCGACGTCACAAGTGTCGCATTTCCTCCACAATGGGTGGCTTGATGATGATGGACAATGTCCCCATTTTCTGTACGATGAGCACTGGATGTCGACTTTTTGAGTGATAAATTGGCTTGTGATAACGTACTGGGTAATGCAGCGACTGCTGCAGCTGTAAGTTCTGCTACGTCTGTAGGGGACAAGAGTGCTTTTTGGCTCTTAGTTGGTGGAAATGTCCCACTCATTGACGTCCAAAAAGCTTGGTAAATTTTGTGTCACTAGACACTTTTTTTAGTCCTGTGGTTGCTACAATCAAATGAGAAAAAAGAGGACAAAGAGGTGCTTAGAAGATTGATGAGCATACGTCTTGTAGACGATGGATTGGACTAAAATTGATACGATGGAAAAGATAAGACACGTATGCATGCTTCTAATGTACTTGTAATGATAGATATGGTCGGGAGACGCCACACAACGCACCTGTATAAAGACCCTTTAGAAATCGACTTTGAGCTCTTCTTCGTCTGAGAAATAGCGCAATCTGGTCAATTTTAGAGTAAATTGTAACTGTAATACGTAATGGTTTAGAATGTATATATTTTATTGTGTATTACAGGCTACGTATGAAACAAGAGCATCAATAGCTAGCTTTATGTCTTGGTACGAAGTTTTATTGCAGCTAATAAATAGATCTTAACAAGTTGCGCCTCAGTTGGTAGTAGTAAAGTATATGACGGCTTGTGATATCTGCTTGAAGGAAGGTGATTTCGAGACCTTACCACATACATTAATACATAGAGAAATATGGACGAAACGTGATCGATCGTATGGACTACCGTCAATAGTACCAACTTTTAATTTCTTACTAATATTGTTTTCCATACACCGTTTCTCCATGTTTGCAGCGCTGCATCTCTTTTTTATTCATTCATGCACAGGATTGAGCTCTACGTGTCCGTCAACTCAAGAATGTATCCATCTTCACTGAAAAAAACCGCTGCCGGAATGAAATTGGCTACGGAACAAGATGTAGCCATTCACTCCACTTGAACCCGTTTAACTTGAGCAAAATACGCACAGCTGCCGAGATGTCATTGTCCCAAAGAGAGCTTTGCCAGCGTTCCAATCGTTGTTTACCACGGCGTGTTGAATATCTACCACTGGCACGGCGGCACTGGCCATACTCAAAGGTGTGGGCTCTGGGCCGTATACCTCACGATGAGTAGCACCATTCCATAGCGTGACACGCTCAATATCATGAGACCATGAAGCTACTACCGAGGAACCATTTCGTTCAGTCCATAGTGCTGACCGAGATAATACAGAGGCTGTCTTGTGACCAGCAAACTCCATTTTTGGCACCAGTTGGCCGCTTCCAATTGTGCACAAATCGAACACGCTGTGCTTCATCGGTGTCGAACGCGACGAAATCACCACTTGGTCCGTGTGAAGCTGGTTGGACGAAAGCGAAAAGTACGCTTGATCACTTGGAACGTGCAAAAAGGGTGCAATTCCAGCGGAATCATTGTTGATAGGTGTATCATCTTCACTCAAGATATTTGTAACATCGTTCCAGACTGAGAGCCCGTGGAATGTAGCTGCTGCTAGACCCTCAGTGCTACGCCCTTCGTCGCTTTTAAATAGCTTGATTGAATGCACCGGTTGTCGTTCCGGGAGTGAAAAAGTCTGCACAATGCCTTCATCACCTGCGGTCGGCTTTCGCATATCGTATTTGGCCACGGTGCCGTCTTGAAATCCGCAATACATTGCATTGTGGTCGGATTCACTAAAGCAACAGGACCAACCTTGCCGTTTGCCAGCAGGAAAGCTCACCTCCAAAATCACTTTCTTTTGGTAGCAATCGGTCACAGCGAGCTTGCCATCAAATGCTACCGTAAGAACACTGCTGTTGATCGGGTGAACACAGATATCACGCACGGCAGAACTATGTACTGGTACATGCAGTCTATATTTTGGATCTTGCGTGACAACCAGCATGACACCATGCGAATCCTGATCAAACTTTTCACCAATACACAAGAACGAGCATGTTCGATGGATGCTGAATACGCGCGCACTTAGCAAGGGAACGTCGAAAATCGGCTTGTACTGTCGTATATCAGCAGCAAATGTATCCTCCGTGGAGAACGGCATAGTGGAAACGACAGGCAAATCAATTGTACGATAAGGTGCTGTCTCTTGTGAAAAAGCGCTTTGGGACTGCGTGACTCTTTGCACAGTCGTTTGTCTTGGTGATGTGATAGATGAAGCACCCAGCCAGCATCCAAAAACAGTTGAAGAACTGACAGCAGTAGTAGCATCAGCGAGCATCTTTTGTTTTATCAATGCAAAATCTTTTTTGAGTTTAATCAGCTCCATATTCAGCCCCAAGACCTCCTTTGTCTGTATGTCAAAATGTGTCTTTAAAGTCTTGATATCTTTCTCCAGCTCACTGTTCTTTAATTTCTCTTCTTGGTACTTTTTCGTCATCTCGACAAGTCCAGAATTGTCCACCACTGCCACATGATCAGTAAACAATGGACGAATATCCAACTTATCTACAATTGCATTGCAATTGGGGCATGTAGAGTGTTCCTCATTCATCCAGCGTTCAATGCATTTTTTACCAAACAAATGACCACATTTTAGTACCACAAGACGATGACATCCTCCAATTGTACAGGCTTCACAGCAAATTGTACACTCTGTAGGCTCTGGTTTTGTCTCCATTTTCCCAGGACGTTTACGTTTACGAAATGTAGTAGAATGTTTGTCTCGTTTTTGAGCTGCTTCGGCTGCAGCTTCGGCAGCAGTTAATATTTGTACATCATTTTCATCATCACTTTCTTCAGTATCGGGAATATTAAGTGTCCTTATAGAGGGAGATGTGAGATTAACACTCGATAAAAGAGGAGACTGCAGTTGAGACCCGTGAAATGTGCTATTCTCACTCGCAATATACTCGATCTCACTTGAAATGTATTCACTTGCATCAGATTGATAGGCATCTTCTACTTCTTCTTCTTCGATACTTTGTGGCATTTTCACGTTATAATGTCAATTTTATATTACTAAATATTACTAAAACGTCTCGTTTTCTTAATATTTTGAAACGCGATAGATACAAAATGACAGGTCGTTAAGTTCGTGTTAAGTGCGACTTGGTGGCAAACCCAATGGGTCTTCGAAGCCGACACCGTCGTCTTGCAGGCATCACTCAAGAAGAAGCATACGATCCAGAAACTACATGTATCCACACTCAGTCACTTGAAGGTAAACAAGAAGGTTAATACCGTAATAAGTATACGAAATTTAGAGTCTGAAACCTGTTTTTCTTTGTCCTTAGAGCATCTCCAAGCTTCTATCCATAATGTCGACGCCTTTAACCTCATATGGAAGGTATGCACGTCTTTCTATTGCAGATTTCAATTGCAACAGTCTCATCTTCTACTATTACTCACTTGAAGAGAACTCTGGGTCATGCTGGACTTGTAGTAATCACCTACGAAATTTTCCTGTGGTTTCAGCTCTTGACAGACAATTCCTCTACTTTACGTTGGACTCTTGATCTTGCACTCAAGTTTATAGCTATTGGAAGCATCCTATGCATGCGAGAACATGTCCGAACTGGTCACAGACAGTATCTTGGCCAGAGCCTCTTTTTTTCCAGCAGCTACGTGCTCATCTGGTTGTGTTGCTCCATGCTGCTGCATTTCAACTTGTCAGCCATGGAAATCTCACCACTTTGTATCGTCTATTGTCTACTTAGCATTCTCGTGCTACAATTAGTTGGAGACAATACAAAAGCTGAAGTTGCACGTGCCCAGCAGCTTGCCAAGCTACATCGTCTCATGGTTCAATAATGTAGCCATGTTTGGCTATCCGTACTTAGTGAGCTATCGTTTAAAAATTTGAATCGCGAGTCATTTCGAGTTTTGAACCCGATACGAAAAGTGCTAGACGATCAGCATTTGACCTTGATTCCTTCCTTCCCTCATGACTGAGTATCCAATCCATCCACGTGTGTTTAAAGTATCCAACGAGATGAATCCATTGGTACCTTTTGCACGTTTTAGAGCTTCCTCTATCAAAAGTTATTCCCCTTTTTGATCATTTTCTAACCCGTGGATAATGTGCTTGTTTTTCCTTTAGGATTTACTCTGTGAGCAACATAAACGACAAATTCAACATCGAAAAGGTCTTCCAGATTGGGAAACACCACGTGCTCCAGCTGGGAAAGTCAGTAATCATCATGTAACCACACCAGCTTTCTTTGCATGGGATCATGAGAGACCACAGGCGACGTGGCAGACAGAGACACCACAAGTGAGTGATCAAAGGGAGATACGAATAAGAGGTTGTAATGATGTTGGTGTACTTAAGTGGGTGGAGCTTTCTTTCATGTGGTTGTAGAAGGTGGCAAGGACATTGGAGATGGAGAGTGAGCCGGAGATGGTGATGGGTGAGAAGTCTCTTTACACATATTCAAGTCAAGAAAGACCTGAGTCCATTGAAGTAGAAGGACAAGAGGAAGACGCGGCCATTGACGTGGATGATACTAACGACAGATTGTCGGAAGAGGATCAGTATGGGGTGACAGGACGATGTATTGCTGTGAGTCCAATGAGAGAGGACATCCTTGATCGAGCTCCTCCTTCTACTACTGGTGAGAATCCCACTCATCTGTCAGTTGCAGAAGTGTCACCGTCGCCGTATCGGCCTCCTCCAAGTTCGAGATATAGACAAGGTCGTCGACTTGAAGAGAATGATGGAGCCATCCCATTGTCTCGGACCCAACTGTACGTTGCAGGAGTAACAACGGAGCAGGCGGATCGCTACAGAATGAGCAGGTCGAGTGGCAAGAGACTGCGATCGCCGGCAAAGCGAACGGCATTATGGGGGGATGAGTCCGACAGCTACATTCACCAAAGTGGTGCTAGCGCCAACACGACCACACCCAGTTTTTCCCACAAACGCCAGGTTTGTTCTGCTGCCGAACGAACATTCGGCGGCTCGTCGGTGTTTCGAACGCTCAATATGGACACGTGCAACTGGCCCCGATCCGAGAGGGTGCGTGGCCAGCGTCGACCTGTTTTGACCGGTTCTGACGCAACCAACGTTGCAAACCAGACAGTACGCGAGTATCTTGGAGAACGTGAAGAAGAGTCAAAGAAGGCCGAACAACCACAACAACAGGTTCCTGCTTGCCATCACAGAGTGGATAACGACACTTTCACCTCGGTCCCTCCCGGTGCTGAGGTGTTTGGCGCGCCTACCGCTGCACCTAAAAACTACAGGAGGACCAAGAGGGTATCATTTGGTGGAAATGCCCTTGCCAATCCTCCGAACGAGGTCGCGGTCTATCCGCAGCCACGAACTCTACCCGTGCTTGCCGATAAGACCACGCAGACAGAAGCTTCCCTATTGCCAACTCGATTACAGACTAGATCTGATAGACTTGACGTCTTTGATTGCCGCGAAGCTCAGGGAAGAGATCATGCATCACCTTCACGCTTCTCTGCGGGTGATACTACGATTGGCGATTTCGAGCGTCCTAGGAAAATTCCAAGAGGATCTACTAATGCTGTCGATGCAGCCTTTGCGCAACAGCACAATTACCGTCGGACAAGTAGTCATCTGACGAATCCAATCATGACAAACCCTCGATACCAACAAGAGACGACGGCGTCCAAAGGAAAGTCAACGTACTCTGCTGTCTTCAATGACAGACTCGCATGGCGATAGCGTCTGGCTAAAGGAAGTCATCAGACTTAACGAATCGTGTACAGCAGCATGACAATGGCTCATGAACTACCTAGAACTGATGTGCTTGCGCAATTTTTCCAGCTGAAGCGACAAGCCTGCCGTTAAGGAGCTGCGAAGACTCGAGGATCCCGAAAAGCAGCAAGTTGTTCCAATGTATATTAGACATGTGCGTCTACGCCAGGCAGCGAGATTTGATTTTGGCTGAAACTCACAAGACCTCCATGAAAAGTGGCAAGTTGTCCTAGTAAAAGCTAGCGCTTTTGGGTTTGATGTGAAGGGGTAGAGCGGTCACGATTCACGTCCATGTCATCATGAACAAGACAGGCAGCGTCACGCCTCATTATCGCTACAGGGGACTGGTTACGGGTTTGTAGCTGCGTACATGTCGTTTTGATCGCAATATCTAGGAGACGTACAACGACGTATACGACACCACGTCGTTGTTGTGCCGGTATTAGCCACCATCCTGTTCGGATTCGGCTGTGGGCTTCATGGCTGACTGCGCAACACACGGAGACTAGCACGACGACACCACTGCCGTTTACGTGTTGATGGTTGCATTCATGCAACTGGCCATGTCAAAAGTGGTACGCTCACTCAGCCATTGTTGACATTTGTCTGCTTCGGATTAGGTACCTGCGGACAACTAAGTCAGTGATTTGGGTCTTCGCAAGGACCATTACTTGTTCAACAACGTTTGTCCATGTGTATAATCTTCGTGCACTCAATCTATCTCATGAATGTCGAGTCTTTGCCTGGGTGATAACAGCTTTGGGCAAATCGGAATGGGCACGAAGGCTTGCGGACCCAGTGGATACTTCTTTCGAGTCGGCAATTTGGTGAGCGTCCAGACAAGAGCTTAAAGAGGAGGTCAATCGCTCATTATCACGAAAGCAAATGTACGCATGGTTAGCAACGTTACAGCTCCGCTTGGAATCAGTATATGTCTTGCCGGCATAGAGTCTCATTGCTTCATGTTAAACGTTAACAATTGCAAAGTAATGAAAGCATTCCAACGGCGTACGAGCAGTGAAAAACATACCACAGCATCGCTATCATCCACATCTCTGGTCTTAAAATGGGCCACACCGTTATCTTCAATCTCGTCGATTACTTTTCTTTTCATGTCGATAAAACTCGGACATTCGGATTTCCAGTCGTGCTGGTTCCACGGGAGGCAAATTCCCCACATTCCTGATAACATCATGAGGGATTGGAGTATACGTCTGGACCCCACTGGCTCTTGCATACTTGCAAACATTAGCCATTGCTCCCACTGACATTTCTCCCAGAGGATCAGTTGTACCCAATAGAGTCGATGCAGTAGCACTTGAGGCATCAAATGATGATCGTGGAGGGTCCGAAGAAGTAAAAGCTGCGGCAGGAGAGGAATGTCGACACATTTGCTGCTTTTTCCATTGATAATAAGCTGAAAAGGGTCCACCTGGTCTCAAAAACGCAAAATCTGGATTCTCTCGTTCCCTTTTTCGAGCAGTGGCTTCAAATACGTCCCCGTTACGAGCCACAAATTCTACAAGTCGATCAATACGATTTTTAACCTCAAAAGGGACGTTTTCCATTGAAAATGACTCGATCGAAGTCGTAAATGAGTCAGCATTTGGTACATGATGGACTGGAACATCAGAAGTGGCTACAGTTGATGCAAATGACAGTCTATTTGATACGTTAGAGCTTCGTGCAGCTGCATCAATTGAAGCTAAACGTGCTGCTTCTTTTGCTTGGGCAATACGCGCCTGGAATTCCTGCTCGAGCTGCATTGTCCAAGGTCTTGTCGAATTGATGAAAAGGAACGACTCTTTTGTTGATATTTAGAGATTATCGAAGGTACTAGTCAAATCAGCTAGTTGTTTAAACGTTTGTATTTTAATAAGCCAAAAGTGAGGATATCAACTTTTTGGGTGATTTTAAGTAAAGTGAGTACAGATCTCCCTCCAATCATTATCCTCCAATAAGTTATAACCTTTGGAAGGCTATCAGTCTTTCGCTTTCACCGAGATCGTTCTATGGTCGCTAAATTATACGGTATATCATATAATCAGTCAGGGTAATATAACTTTATATAATGAGTATTTTTCCTGTATTTTAAAAGAGAAAACCTACGTAAACTACATGTCGAGGGTAGTTTGGGTGGACAGTGCGGTGCATATGTCTACTTGAAGGTCGCGAAGGACTCTATAAGCAGCTTAGTGACTTTTTTGGGATACATCGAGCATGGTACAGAAATCACCAAGAAGGTTAATCTTATTAATTCCGGTGAGCTTGTCTGCGACAGGTGCCACATCTTCGCTGTTTTTACACTCCTTCTGTGTCTCCTTTACCTCTTCTAGAATCTCGTTCTCGGTGAGGTCCGTCTGAGCAGTCTTATCCTCTCTGATGGGATATAGAAAAGCTCTGAAATCGTCATGGGATCCTAGACACGCAGCTGATCTAGCTGGTCTCTCAGCTCCTGCTTCAGCTTTGCGACATTTTTAACTATCTAGGTAGGCAGGCAGGACATTGTGAAACACTGTAAATTTACATATAACTTGACGTGTCTTGCACCTGTGGGTACAGGTCAAACAATTAAAGCAGCCTGGTACTTCTTTTTAGCAGTCGGAATCTTGCCTATCTTGTTTTTTTATTATATAATTTCTATGATGTACAATCCACAAAAACCGAGAAGTTATAACCTCTCTTAAGTTATAAATATTGTCGTCCACCGTACTCATAACTTAACAGAGGGAGATCTGTACGTACAAATGTAGCTAGCTGTCTCCATACAAAGTATGGTCTGTAGTCAATGTACATTGGTATCATTAAAAAAAAAGAAGAACATAGAGTAACGCAATCCGTGTTTTTTCTACGCCGACACTCTGTAACCCTATGACGTAATGCATTAGTCATCTACAATTTGACGACATGGAGATGGAACGGAAGATAAAATAGAAACTTATTGATGCCTCCGTCGCTGCTTTGTCGACGTATCACCCACCTCGAAACATGAGAGCCAGTAAAGATTTGTTCCGTTTCTACTTCATGATGACCTGATAAAAGAAGTGAGCCCGTCGTCTTGTTTCGAATTGTTCTGACTCTTGTCCCATGGTGTATGTACGCACGTATGTCGTTACGTCCAGTCGATTTTTTTCATAGAAACAATAGTATCACAATACAAAAAACAGGGTACAAGTATTTCGCGTAAGACAAAAGAAGGATGACAGTGATCCGTAGTCCTGACAATAAAAGTGATAATGGTCAAGTAATCGCCTTAAATGACATGTGGAATGATTTTGAAACGAAACAACGTGGTTTCTTACGTATGGAAATGGAAAAAGCAGTAACTAAAACTATAAACAAACAGAGCGAAATGTTTGAAGCTCTTCGTTCGAAAATTGAGACACGTCATTGTAATGCGTTAAAGGAGCTTCGTGATGACATTTTACGTCCAGAACCTTCATTACTTGAGACTTTCATGAGTCGGACATTGGACGTGCAAAAGAATACGGGTCTTGTGAGCTGGATTAATGATGACAAGAAGAAGAAGCTCGTACAAATGTACGTCCCAAAGCTACGAAATTATCTTGAATCGGGTCACGCTAATGCGTTCCGTAGTGAGTTTGAAGCTTTATTGGTCGTGTATATGGAGTGTCTTGAGATTCCAATGAAAAGTGGCTCACGATTAAGTAATCGTATTGAAGATCTGCATCAAGGACTTTTGAACAAAGCAGGCTCGAATGGTGATTTGATTAATCTTGTACACCGTGTCCGCTGGGCATGCTTTGGGGTACGAGCAATTTGTAATGTGCGTTCACATGAGACGAATGTACTATCGGAGAATGAAATTCTAGAGCTCTGTGCATGCTTTAGTGCTATTGGAGCGGCAATGCCAACACTTGTGCTTGAGTTTCAAGTATGCCAGCAGCCGTCCGTAACTGCATCATCATCTTCATCAAGTGCTATGAGTTCACCTACAAACTCTAATTTGGAAATGGGTTTGGCCATGTTGGCACAGCTACGTCAATCACCAGACGACAAGAATGACCAAACGTCCTTTGATTATATGTTTCAACTTATGACTAATAACGGATCTACTGCCAGCACGACTAGGCTTGAGGAATCACAAATGAATCAACCGTCGTCGCTGCCATTAGGATTCCACGATGACGGCTTTAGTTTATCTTCTCAAGATTCCTTACAATCGAGATCGCCCGATTGGAACGATTTGAACTTGACCAGTTTGAGTCTAAACGGTTTATCCTTGAACAACTCCACTGTGAACAGCTCGACATTCAACAGCTTGAGTTTCGACAAAAATGACAGCGCGGGAATCCAGACGCCGTCTTTATCGCGTTTAGGCTCGATTGGCAGCATCAGCAGCATCGGCAGCAACTTTAGTCAACAACCATCTTTTCCTCTTGGATACGATGATAATTCTAGTGGATTCTGGTCGCAACCGCCACTTCCGCGTAGCTCTGGAAGTCCATATAGAATTTCAACGCAGCCACCTAAGTATGAAAGCTTGCAGACAAGACCGCCGTATTTGCTGAGAGCTACAAGCCCGATGAGAAGTTCCCTACAATCGATAGTACAATCTAGCGCCGAAAGTCCACTGAAGAAATCGCCGCAATCTTCAGCAGCCTCTGGTATGAAGCAGTCGGACGTACCAACTCAGGCTCAATTGACGCTTGTCAAGTCACTCAGGTTTTACCACGATCGACCGAGTGAGTTGCCTAGAGAATGTGATCGTGTCCGCATGGCCATGTTTGCACGTATGCTTAATCATATGAATGCATTACCAAAGGCGACGTTGTGTCCCCTTCAGCAGGACCATGACCCGACCTGCCCGCTCTCGCATTCGTACTTGGAGGTCATGTCGTACAACCCATTGTACAAGCGCTTGGTATGCCGTCAGCCGTCTCACTACTGGGGCAGCCGAATCCAGGAGGACGACAGCTGCGTGTGCTTGCACGTAGACACTGGGCTCACGTGGGAGTGGATGGACGAAGTCCATCATAAGCGCATGCATTGTCCTCGTGGTGATAAATGCATCAATACCAAGTGTTTCAAGTCGCACTCGTTTGAAGAAATGTGCTGGTACAACCCGTCATACAAGATTAAGCGCTGTACCGTGCACGCTCACGATCACATCACACGCGCTCGTGGAATGATCGTGCCACCGCTCGACTGTGGCTACTACCACATTGAAGAAGGCAAGAACGCTGACAAGCGTGAGTTGACGATCGAATCTGATCACGTTGGCAAAGATATTAAGATGCTCTTTACCGAGCGCACGCACAAGCCTCTGGCTGATCTTCTCGAAGCTCTTCGTTACGTGCGCGTCAACAACCTCTGATCGACACAAACCTCTGTGCAGAGCTCCATTGTGTAAGCAGCCCGCTATACATATCCAATTGGTCATTTTGTTGCTTGACGAGGGTGCCAAGGTCGTGTATGACAATCCCCTTAGCTTCGATCAAGGAATAGTGTACACGGTGCTGTGGGTTCAATGCTAAACCTTTGCAAGCAATAATACATGTGAATCTTTTGCCTGGAACTCCATATACATGCATTGTTGCAAAGGACAAAGTCGATGTAGTATAGATACCTTTACCAAATCTACCACCTAAAGCGTGCTTACAGTCAATGTACTGGCAGTATCAATGAGTCGAGAATCGTCAAAGGATGTCTACTAGTCACCTAGCTGCCTAAATGACCACAACATCCGGCTAGAACCTTGCTTACTAGTGCACGTAGTAGCATTGCCCAAGCGATTTCTGATGCTTGTCAATTGAAACGACATTGGAGTGCTTTCTAACGTAGGCCGCGTCGCTCTGAGAAGTGTCAAGGCATTATCGTTCTCTATCACTTGGCAGGAGACAACACGTCGCAACACCTAACGGGATTGAAGAAATTTATCTGCAATACCCCACCTCACCTCACCTCAGTCACTGTCCCAGCTTGGGAGCTTCCATGACCACTTCTTCATAACTGGATTTGCCTTGGAAAGCGGTGACGACCTTGATCAAAGGACTAGCAATGGCCTCTCAACTGTTTCTAGTACGTATCATCAACTTTTCATGATTGAGATCGCAACTTGGGTCCATTAACACGTGCATGGCACATATGCATCAGAGAGGGCGTGGTGTCTCGAAGATGATGACTGCTGGCAATCAGGCGCTGCGTTCGCATCTAAGTCCAGGCCAAAAGGTTGGGGAACATCGATGTCTATGGCAAGAGGTTGTTGAAGCTGACATTTCTGTGTAGCGTTATTCTGCGTCGTGGACTTCAAACATGATGAACAAGGCGAAGAGTTCCATGGTGGAGTCACCCTTACCATGGTGGCTCTTTGGAACTGCAGGCTTGGTTGCAACCACACTTACTGTTGGTGCTGCAGCACGGCTCACGCGAACTGGAGCATCGATGCTGTACTGGAAACCTCGTTTCATGCACTCACCAAAGACTGAAAGTGAATGGCACGATGAATTTGACGTGTATCGTGACTTCTGTGCGCGGTCTCAGCGCACTCCGATGGTAAGTCGAGGGCTAGAATATATCGACAGGTTGCAGAGGATCTGACCGACTTGTTACGGTTAGACGCTCGAGGACTTCAAGCGCAATTACAAGTGGGAATCAGCTCACCGCAGACTTGGCCAGTTGACAGCTCTCTCTTTCGTTGGACCCTTGACATACTTTGCGATGAAGGGCAAGATTCCGATTCCAGCGCAAGCTCCTCTGATGTTAATTGCAGGGCTTGGAGCTACTCAGATGTACCTTGGTCGAGGAATGGTGGAGAAGAACGTTACGCGTGGTGGCAAAGGTAGCAGTGATGAGAACTCCACGTTCGAGGGAGCCAACTTCTTCCTTCCAATTCATGTAAGAACATGTGCTATCACATTGTTTGACACTGTAGCTCATGCTGTCTTTGAATTGTGCAGTCGGCCTTGTCGCTCGCGAACTTTTCTCTCCTTGTTTGGACAGGACTTGGAATCATCTCACCGGTATCAAGAGCAATCACTGTGCGTGGACTCATGACACCAGGTGTGTTGCAAGAAATGGGTGCAGTTCGCAACCATTTTTTGGCTTTGACAGGGCTGGCAGCCAGTACGATCTTTGCGGGCGCGTTAGTGGCGGAGATTGACGGTGGACGTGAGTTTCAAACGTTCCCCAAGATGGGGGACCATTGGATTCCGCAAGGTCTCTTCGACCAGCAGGTGATGGTCGATAGCATTTGTTTTGGTGGATTGCATTGCATTGACATGGTGTCTGCGTGTTTTTACTTGTTCTTGACAGCCGTGGCTGCGCAACTTCCGTGACAATGTGGCTCTCGTGCAATTGGACCACCGCCTATTGGCAGTGGCTACTCTTGCTGCGTACACGACCGTCTATTTAAAAGCACGTAAGCCTCGTATCTGGACAAACCTTCCAGAAGATGCCAAGCACGCTATGACACTAGCAGTGGCAGCAACGGGTGGTCAAGTATTGATGGGTGCGACAATGCTCGTGAAGGAGGTGCCGACGCCGCTAGCGATGGTGCATCAAAGCGGTGCGGCGTTAGTCTTGGGATCGTCGTTGTGGGTGCTGCATGCTCTACGTTTTGCTCGTCCTGGTGGGCTAATGGGAGCGGCAGTTGCGACTGCTGCCGCCAAGGTCGCGTAAAATTTGACAAGTTGAAGTTGCAGTTGTCGATTGGACGACGTAACGCGTTTGCATTAAAATGATAATCAATTTGATTACGTAGCTTGCTGACGAAGCTGGCTCGTCACATTTTGTGTGTGCCACTCTATAAATGCATAGGTCGACTAATTATACGTCGTGTCCAAATCAAAGTGTCTCCAATAAATTCTATACAATTTTCGAGTCATTAAGACATTAGCAGTCACAAGTCCATAGCATTGATACGCATTTCAATATGTTTACAGGCATTATCGAAGAAATTGGCACGGTCATGTCCATGCAAGAGCGTCACGATCTCTTGCTATGGAATGGTGAGCGTGGTACAGGTTTTGAGCTACTTGTCCATGTAAAAGTGGCGCTAAAAGGTGCTTATGTCGGCTGCAGCATTGCCATTAACGGGACGTGTCTGACTGCCACAAGCATTGACAAAGACTGCGTGTCCTTTGGTGTGGCACCCGAGACGCTCCGTCGCACGAATTTGGGCACGCTCACAACTGGTGACAAGGTGAATGTGGAACGCAGCATGGGCGTGGATGCACGTAATAGCGGCCACTTTGTACAGGGTCATGTGGATGGTACAGGCACCATCTTGTCTTTCAAACGAGAGCACGACTCGCTCTGGGTCAAAATCTCTGCGACGTCCGAGATAATGCACGATATTGTGGCGAAGGGCTACATTGCCATTGACGGCACAAGTCTCACAGTGTGTGAGGTGGATCGTACCAACGGCTGGTTCTCCGTCATGCTCATTTCGCACACGCAGAATCACATCATTCTTCCGTTAAAGAAGGTCGGTGATCACGTTAATCTGGAGCCAGATGTATTGGGCAAGTACGCTGCACGCTCAATGGGTGAAGTGCTTGAACGAGTGGATGCACTGGAAAGTCAGCTGCAGCTTGTGAAGCGCGTGACGACAGGACTTGCCATTGTTGCCAGTGTGTTGGGAGTAGCTCTTGTCATTCGAAAGTGAAGGTGCTGCAACGAGATAGGTAGCGTTCCAAATGCAGTCGCTTTGTACGCACAATATGCCCAACACGAGGAGGAAAGGCATTTCGTATTTGATGATTATCCCTCAAAAAAATTGTCAATTTGTCGTGCGCTACAGCTCGCTATGTCTCATTTTGGACTGGAAAATTCCGCCAGCAAGCAGCAGGTTGCGCGGTGTGAAGTGGACACGGTACATCGGCGTTTGCTTAGAGCGCAGTGTCTTCAAGAGGAACCGTGAGGACGGCAGCTCCTGCACTGCTCCCGGCCGTACCATCGGCACCGGTTTTACAAACCGGCTTCGACCAGGTAGTTGAGTGCTGTGTCGCACGTCTGCATCTGAACAACTCATGTGCAAATCTTTCATAGCCCCTGAAAGTGCTGAATACGTCGACGGCTTCTCAGTAAGTGCCTTCATATCCCAAAGGCGCACAGTAGAGTCCATCCCGCTGCTTGCTAGAATCGTGCTCTCCTGGCTAAAATCCAGTGAAGTGACCATGGCCTTATGGCCCATGAGGGTTTCTAAACGCTTACCAGCTTGCAGGTCCCAAATGTTAATGTACTGGTCTTCCCCTGAACTTGCGAGATACCGGCCGTTGCGCGAGAACGCAAGGCACTGCACTCCACGAAAGTGGCCCGTAAATACACGGACACATTTGCCAGACTGCACGTCCCACAACCGTACGGTTTTGTCGCTGGAGCCCGTGGCCAAGTAGTTGTGATTCGGGTGAAAACGCACACAATCTACATCCGATAAATGACCAGCAAAAACGCGCAATGGTGTCACGTGATCCGTACTCCAAAGCCGTGCAGTCCGGTCCATCGAACAGGTCGCAAAATAGTATCCGAGTGGCGCGAAGGTGACATCCCACACCGGATATCCGTGATGAGACCGATACACAACCAAGTTGCTCTTCGCTGCCATACTCCACAGTCGCACTGTCGAGTCTGCTGACGCTGTGAGAGCAAATCGGTTGTCAGGTGAAAAGCTTGCGCCATAGATAGCAGCCGAGTGGCCTCGAAGTACGGCCATTTTTTCATCTTCCTCTGCGTCAGTGTGAAACGGTCGTGCGTTGCCCTGGTATGCAGATCCTGTAGCAGTTCCAAGCGGCTGATCGTCGTTGCGCCAAACTCGAAAGGAGGCATCATCGCAGGCAGCACCCACCATGGTGACATCGTCACTGAAGCACATATTGTTGACGTGCGTTGCTGAATTCAGCAAGGTAAAGCACAAGGCCGATGGAAGTACACTACGGCTTACAGGTGCACGAACCCGGATATCCTCGAGAATATGCTCCTTCATATTAGCAGGAATACGTAGCACAAGTTTCTCCAGCACACCCGTATTAAACGCATTCTTTCGATCCGGAAGTGGTCCAATCTCCTCCAGTAATTCCTTCTTCATGCCTGCCATGTCATCATCTGACAGCCTTGTACGTTTGTGTTTGCGGTGCACATCTGTAGAAGCAGCAGATGCCTTGCCTTTATCCTTTGCGCTGTCAGCACCAGTCTTTTTGTCGCCATCGGCTCCTCCAGATTCATTACCTGCAATCGAACCACTCGCTACGACACTCCCCGCGACACCGTTGGTAGATACACTGCCATCTTTTCCCGTTGCAGCGCTATCATCTACTTCCTCTGTAGAGGGGTCATGCACTTTGCGTTCAGGAAAAACTCCCCACTTGACAGGGACAGCATTCAGATCCTGCACTGTGTAGCCCATGCTTGCAATAGTTGCAGCAGTGTTGCCATGAGCAGTACGTACCATATAGTCTACATCATAGGGACCTGTTGTCAGCGGCATAGCAATTTCACTTTCACTTGGGTGGTTGGATGTAGCAACAGCCAATTCAAGCTCATTCGAGTCCCTGAATCCACTAGCTGCATCATCCTTGGGTTCCAAATTATTTAGTACGCCTGGTATAGAAGCATCTTGTAGCTGTTGAATCTGTATTCCCGGTTGATTTGATGTCACCACAAGATTGACACGTTCATTGACGATTGACAACAATAGAAAAAGCCGTTCCTGACTCAAAAAGGTATTGAGTAGCTCAAAAGATAGCAAACTCATCTCCACATTGAATTTGCTATGAAGAACTTCGCGCACATATTCATTTTCTCGTAACTGCTGCAGAGAAAACACAAGACTGAGAATTCGAAGCTCTTCCAAGTGCAATCTCGTATGATCACGTGCATGACGATAAAAGAAACATCTGCCCGCTTCAAGAAAACCCTTTGACAGCAGCTCGAGATAGCAATGGACAAAGACAGGAAATACCACGGCATGTAATTCCTTGCGATACATATCTAATGAATTGCAGATCCAGTCCATGAGTTTTTGATATGCTTCATCATAGGTTTCAGGATTACCATCTGTTAATCCATAGAACAACTGCAATAGAGTACAAAAAACGTACACCATCAGTGTCAGTGTCTTGGTACATATTGGATGATTACGTCATCAACAAAATGTCACGAGTGATTCGTGGCTTTTTGTAAGGTTCCATATCACAGAAATACAGAATACTACATACTACATACATACATACATACATACATACAGTACAAAGTATCTCAATGATTGCAGTTACAACGCACCAGATGATTGGCAGTACACGCCAGAGTTGTCAACCCTAAATGTTGAGCGTATGTAGCAAGAGTTACATCTTCAATTTGTCCCGTCTCTTCACCCACCAGTCGTCGTCGCTCCTCTTCTGTGACTTGATGTTGCCGTGTCTCTCCTTTAGTGACATTGTACCCTCTTGTTTCTAGATACTTACGTAATAATTCATCCATAACAGACGCATTTACATCCAATCGTGTTGAATGTTCCAAGGATCGCAGCGTGGTTGGATCGAGTGGACGAGGCGAGGTCCCATGACCCGTCGCTGTTACCAGAAATGACATTCACTTTCTCTCGACGTGACAAAAGACAGAATGAACGTCAATCTGAAGCACCCCCTTTTCAAAACGCTGCATTTATTACGATCCATTTTATGTAAATGCCATAATGTATGTGCACTACATAAATTACTACCCAACATGGTGCTCATGCAAGTAGTGTTGTTACTGGTAGTGACGGTCGTGTCTGGTGCAGGCTGTAGCTTTCTTTTGGCTACATGGAAGCGTGTAGAAGCTCCCAATTATGTAAGCCGTCGTATTGTTACGTCGATAGGAATCGCTGGACTTTGTACTACCCTTGCTTTCTCAATGTACGTTGTTTGACAAAATCTGATTCTTCTGATTCTTCTGATTCTCGCTACAAACTAACCTCTTTTTACATGTTATTGTGATCAGGTCACTAATTGTCAATGGTCGTGGACAGAATTATCGACATCATGAAGGTTTGTGCTATACACAGGCACTAACATTACAGTACTTTTACTTGGCGTCGTATCTCTGGACATCATGCTTCGCGTTTCATGTTTACCAGATCATTGTCAAGCGGTGCGTTGTCATTTAAAAGAACAGGGCTGAATCTTTTACCAATTGCTGAGAGAAAGGATGACTTTTTGTCGTATAGGAATGAGTATCCAGAGGAGTTTCTGTGGGTGTATCGTGGCATTGGGTGGGGCCTACCTGGTTTAGTGCTGATTTATCTGATACTTCGTCAATTGACTGGACATATTGGAGTTGGTGGAGCCGATCGTCTATGGTGCTGGATCGCAGTCCATACGACGGACGAAGAAACAGGAGAAAACGCGCTTGTCCTGGCAACGTGAAGGAGCTCTACAGCAACTGTTGTTATTTTACGCACCTGTCGTTAGTGTGTTTGTCTTCAATGTGGTCATTTATCACAATATCCTCAAGTTTCTGAACATGGATCCCATGGCACAACGTTTTCGTGAAAAAGTGAAGCTTTACTTGGGAATCTTCTTCTTCTGTTCAGTTTGGGGAATAATCAACAGGTTGGTGCAATTCTTCCGCGCTGACCATACACCGATCGAGTTTGTGTGTGTGATGGAAAGCATTTTTGACCCGCTGCAACCACTGTTAAATGCGGTGGCATATGGCACGAACAAGCAGTCGTTGGAAGCGTACAAAGATCGGTTTTGTCCAAAGTGGATGTACTCGTCGTTGCCGTCTTCTGACGAAGAAGAATCCTCAGGAATAGATGACTCCCCGTTGCTCTCTCGTACCAGCGATATAGTGGCAAATTCTGCCTTGGACCCTCTCGATCGTGAGTTTGGCCACTACTTTGACCAACGTGGACCTCGCAGTAAGTCACACCACCAGCATCGACCGAAAGTATGAGCCGATGAGTATAAAGATACTACAAGGATAGGCTGGCACATTTTCACGCGAAGGCTAGAGACAAAACCAGCAGCATTTGAATGCTTGCTTAATGATTATATGCAGTTGATAAAGGAATGGCAGTGTAAAGCTAAACGCCTTCCGACCTAACTGTCTGGTTCTGGTGCTTGATGAATGCATGTCCGCATAGTCCGAAAAATTGTTTTCCAGAATCTTTGCAAGCTTGACTGATCTTAAAAGAGCGAGGGCGACGCCCCATGGCCAGCCGACCGAGGCTGTGAGCCACGGTCCGACTTGACCTTAACGTAATAGTCCTGATAGGTATCACATACAAGAGTTAGCGACACGGCATTCCACACAACTATCTCCACATCTGTCGTAGACGTACCCAGACATATTTCCGCTTGTTAGCGTCCTGTAGGAGCTTGACTATCTCCGGTACCAGGTTCAGCGTTTGCTCATCCGTAAACTTATTGTTCAGGTAGTTAACAAACTGTTCATCTGTGCAGCGGTTCTGACCATAGTCCTTGCAGCTAGTCTTAAACTCATCAACGCCGGCAGGCCCCGACGTGCTCTCAATGAGTCGCAGCACACGGTCGTATACGACTTGCACATCTGGGCCAACAGCAGCTGCAGGCATGCGGTCCGCAAAGGGCGACATGAGCTTTTGCTTTAAATTCTGCACATTGCCCGACGGCGGAATGCTCGCAACACGCTGTAGCGCATCGTACAGCTGCGAGGCAGCAGCCGGTTGGTCCACAGCTCCAGTCAAAATCTCAGTAGGGGTGATCTCCCGACCATAAAACTTCTTATTGATATCGGATCGTGCCATAATGCCTGAACCTTGCAGCCCCACACCGCCAAAGAGACCCTTGCTGTGGCTGTACGTGTAATTGGGTGCGACACCCGAAGTACTAAAATTAGCATTAGCCCCAGCTGCACGGCCATAGGGGCCTGCCGCAAACTCCAAGTTTGCACCAGCAGAGAGCTGTCCCTTTTGCATAAAGTTCTTGACTGCAATGTCCGAGTTGAGAATAATCATAAACTCAATCATCTGAGCACCCATTTCAGCACCAAAGCCCATTCCAGCTGTACCAATAGCACTAGGAGCTGACCATCGACCGTCCTGTAGCTTCGAAATGACCACACCTGTACCCACTTTGCCTGTCCAGATAAAACCAGCCTTGACAACTGTAAGAAACGCCAAACCCTTGGCTTCATGAAGAAGATCAATAGGAATACGTTTATCTTGTTCCAGACTTGGACTAAATAGATGCTCCAGTGTTTGTTCTGCTGCACGAATTGCACCTTCCATGGTCGTAATTTGGTCCGTCATGACGGTAATAATGAGACCAAAAGAATTGATAAAGAGAGATTCGACCTTAAGCTGCTGTTTTGTGTTGTGCCACAAAAAAAGCAATAGCACGACAAAAAAAAATGTTGCCACATTGATGGGTTCTCAACTGTCTCATTTCTCGGTTCGGAGACCCATCATCTTCACCAATCAGATTACACTAATCAAATCTATTTTGACCAATTACAAATTGGACATCATACATGGACGAAAACTTTTGTCTTCCAGACCAATGCCATGCATATTTTGTAATTAAATTCGCATCCGTGCGAGATAAGCGCCTAAAGTGGGAGTATCGGTGACTTCTACCATAGCAATCCCCAGTTGCTCGTAATCCTTACGCTCATTGTAAATCTGTGCACTAATGCGCGCATAAAGCTGGTTCTGAAACGGCACCACACGCACCACAATACGGTACTGGTCGTCTAGAAAATCCATAATCGCATCGCATAATGGCATTGCTTCGTCGTGTGACATTGGCTTGCCTTCCGAGGTCATTGGCCACTCCACAGGAATACGCACGTTACATACAAATGGAGCGCGTTGCCAATTCGGTAGCAGCACATTTGTCTTCCATGTTGTAGCCAAGTACTCGCCAGCCCAGTCAATCAGCGACTTGTTGTGCGCGTAAATGCGGCTCACGCCCACGCTCTCGTAAAAATCTAGTGCTGCCACGATCGTCAGAAAATTGGCTTCGTCTCGTGTACCTTGGATCGCAAACTCTTCGACAAAGCCTTGGCCGTACGCAAGCGACGTCACGACGGGACGTACAGTGTTCTGATACACCTTGCTGACATGCAAGAACGAACAAGACTTGCAGCCAAACAGCCATTTGTACGCCGTGCCGACGTAAAAATCAGCACCCAGTTCGTTTAAGTTGAGTGGCACCTGGCCGGGGGCGCTCGCACCGTCCACTAGCACGGGGATATTCCGGGCGTGAAAAATTGGGATAAGCTTCTCTAACGGTAACACGAAACCTGTGGTGCTAGCAATATGGTCGAGCACAGCCAACCGCGTGTTGGACGTGATCGCATTCGCTACCTGCTGTGCTAACGAGTCGTAGCTCTCAATCGGCAGCACAACGTCGACCACTTTGAGTTCCACGAATTCCTGCGTGCAGTAACAAAGATGGCGCAGCGTATGAAGCACAGCCGAGTCTGTAAAACAAACAAAAAGCAGTGTGGTGAGACTCATTAGCCATAAATAGAGCCAAAGTGTGTTGCCATCCATTCAATACACAAGAAAACGTACATGTGAGGTTGAGACACAGCACTTCGTCGTCGTTCTGCAAATCCAGCGACTGCAGCACGGCATTCGTACCCGTGGTAGCATTTGTCACAAAGACCAGATCCTCTGCGTCTGCATGAATAAACCTCGCAAGGTGCGACGCTGCCTGGCGCAGCATCGTCGGCACCTCGCGACGCATGAACCTGTCTGGATTCATCTCCATCTTGTTGACAAAGTGGGCTTGTGCCTGCATGACGGGCTTAGGAGCTACACCGTATGCATTTTGATTGAGGAAGATCGTATTCGGCTCGAGATTAAAGACGCTGCGGCACTCACGGCCCAGCACGAGGTTGCGTAGATAACGTCGACTGTCGGGCCACAATGTCGTCATTCCTAAAGCAGAATAGTCCTCAGCAAGAGCCTGATCTTGTTGCTGCTGCACGTTCTTCTCCTGTTTCATCTCTTCTCCCTCCTGCGTAGAGTCTACGACCCCTGGAGGCTTCAAATTAACAGCAGACGAGATAGTATTGTCGTGAATTGGAGCGATTGTCGGCACAGCAGGAGTCGTAGCCATTTTCATTGCTTCCAGAGCGATTTTCACACGTGTGTGAGATCAGCAGCAGATGTCAAGAGAAGGCCTTCAATGGAGAGTGTACCGTTAGTCAAAGTAGCGATCCAGTCGCGTCAAAAAGCGACTTGCTATGAGTGAGCGGAGTCTCTTCGATTTATGACGGCGTCGATCTCAGGCGCGGGCGTATATTATGTCGCTGACTAATTCGGACATGAGAATAAATATGTGATGCCTCTCTTTTCGAATATATTATTGGAAACGCATTTAAAACGTCGCTAGCGATCTATATCGACTTTATTAAACTCTGTTTTAAGGTGCGAAGCTCCGTTTTAAGGATACCCAAAATTCACGCTTGTACCCAATTTGACGCCATAAACGTGACGTAGAATCAGAAAAGCAAGGTGCTTGACTCATTCCGCAATAGTCCACGTCGCCGTACGCGCGTGCTGATTGGTAAGCAGTGCACATCCTTGCGTGACTTGGTAGCTCTGTTGCAAGCCATTGGCTAGTGCACAAAATTCAGTAAAAGGGGGCTCGATTAGGGGCAATAATCGATTCGAAACGGCACATCAACGATGCACTACAAGCTGTCGAGTGCCTTTTACCCAAAGGAAGTTCGAAGGACGGCTGGCTACCAGATGCAAGTGCATTGGAGACTGTCGAGACGAGTAAACGACGGACAATGAATGACACGCCGGACGTGGCGCGTGGATATGATATATCTGCAGCACATCTCAAACAAAGTGCGTGCAGTCTATCGGTACATTCAAAGCGTACTTAAGAATCATCAATCCGTTTGAAGAAGATATGTGATAACGGGATTATTAACAGTGGGGTACATTTGAGCACTAACAGTCAGCAGTAACCGCCGCAGTAGCTGTCATTGTCTTGGATACGCGCCGGTCCGACCTTGACCTCAATAGCACGCATCCGGCCATTCTTCCTGGCTATCTCAGGGCCATTTTTCCAAATCAAGTGGTCTTTTGAAGTCACTGCCTCCATGAAGAAGAGCTGATGCTTGTCCTCTACGTCCGTACCCAATTGACACGCAAACACCGAGTTGAGAATCCCGTTCGCCCCGAAACCGAGCACATCCGTGATCTCACCACCCTCTTTCACACGCACCAAACCGCCACCAGTTTGATACAACCCAGACTGAACAATGCTGGTCCAGACGCAACCTTCTGCATCAAGACAGATGCCATCAATGGGGGAGCCAATGTCTGCCCACATTCGACCGTTCGAGAGTCTTCCGTCCTCGTCAATATCGTACGCTGTTAATCGCCCTTCGAACGTCTCGCCAACAATAAGCGTTTTCCCGTCGGGGGTGATAACCATCCCATTTGGGAACACTACGCCAGTTGCTTCGACACGAATAATGCCTTCCTTGTCAACGCTGACGATCGTAGAGCTTTTGATTGACAGGATGTCCGAGTGATGGAAACCAAAGCTACCGACATATGCACGACCAGAAATTGCAACCACCATGTCGTTGGCTCGAACTTGCGTCACGTCCTTTAAGTCTGCGTACAGCTTAGTAGTTTTGGTCTCCTCGTCATAGACAATCACCTGCCGCTTGTTCATGGATGAAATCAGCAAGCGACGATCAGGCAGCCAGCCCAAACCAGATAGCATATCGTCGGGGTCGGTGTATACAACCGTCCTCTTGCCGGTTGCCAGCGAATACTTGACAACCTTCTTGTCGTGCATGTCAGTAAAATAGAGTTCCTTCGTAGAAACTCGGAAGCGTGGACCTTCACCAAAAATGATGTCGTCCAACAGTGTTCGTGCTTGTGGAGCATGAGGGTCCTTCGTCCAGAGCTTGCGTACAATCCAGTACCCGAGGAAGCGGAATGGGAAGATTAGCATGCGGATGTTTGGAAACACCTTCGGGAATAACTCCTGGGGTTCCCCTTTGTCTTTTGAGACACGAGAAAAGTCTTCTACAGCACATTCATGCTTCTTCTCTTGCTGCATCAGTGATCCGACCTTCAGGTTCTGACAGATGTTGGTATACAAGATGGAGAAGCAACTATTTACAAATGCCGATGGTCCGTCTTCGGTTGCGACACGAGCAGATATCGTCGTTATTGTATACTAAAGTTAGAGAGAAGAACTATCCAGTATCCGTACCGGCATTACAACAGTCGTACATATGGATTACTAAAGGAGCAACTTCTTTAACATCAACGTTGACACAGGTGGGACTAAATTTGTGCAGGCGTATAACGCTGCTGCTTACTGTCGTGCGATCAGCTGTAGGTAACAGGCGCCCTATGCTGTTTGTACCCTTTCATCAAGACAAGCAATAGAGTATATCACACCATGACGTAAAGTTGCGTTTGTACTTCTTCAGTGCCGTCGAAAATATCAACATTGCATTGCTTTTTTTCTCAAGTAGCGTCCTGCCTGGCGGTATCATGATGCTGCCGTCGCACAATATAAACATCGCATCGAACTATTTCCCAGGTCATAGTGACCATTAAAACTTCGAGTTTAATTTTTGTCAATACACTTTAATGTAGCCATCAGGACCAAAAACATCATATTCGACTAAATTTAGAATTGGAGCAGTAAGAGTTTTTTAATCATCTGGAACTTTACTAAATGAAACACGAGTTGTGACTCATAAAAGCCATACGACAAAATCGAAAGACAGTCGCCCAGAAAAACACCATACAGTAATGCGTCCTAAAACATGCCCAGATAATTCTCAATAATTCTGATTTACACCGACCTGAAAAGTGTAGAATTCTACTAAATAAAATACGTCCTGGTATCCTATTTTGAGAATCGAAATGCAATCGCTAAGGTTGCCAAGATCAATCAGCACCATCACTTTCAGAATAGCAGCTCCGTTAAATACATGTTTTCTGTCAATTACTTACGATACTATATAAATGTTCAGTCTGTGTGATATTAAGAGCCTAGAAAGAAGTTAGGTATGACTGTCCATCGCTGTTATACGAAGGAGTCTTTTATTAACTTTCCATTAGCACTAGAATAGTACCAATAATTTAGGAATCGAACGCACTCCTTCCTACACTTGCCACCTCTCGCAACTAAAGGGTGACTAGATGATCTCTCTGTCTTTCTCTCACTTTCCATTACTACTAAGATAGTAACGAAATGCATATGGAATACACTCTCAAAATATCTTACAAGAGGCTTCAATCTTTCGAAGTCCTTCTAAGCATGCGCCCTTCCATTAACATGAGACGACTCGCTAATGCTATTTTCGTCTTTCATGCACATGGAGCTCTCGGCTCTTTTCAGCCTGATTCCTTGAGGTTTCAACTAGTGTTCTTATCTCTGATCAGGACTAGAGGACTTTTGCCTCATGCGTTTGCAAAACTATTTGCTTTCGAAGAAAACGATTAAGGACAGTTGAAACAATCAAGCTATGAATCTCAAAGTCACTCTGTGTTTTGTCATCCCTTGAGCAAGCAAGCAAGGAAAAAACCATGAAGTTTCCATTGTCGGCGTGCCCGTTCCAGCCATTAGTTTTGTCAGACAGTGAGAAAGATAGTATGAAGTCGATCTCGGATGACATCCTGACCAAAACGATGGCAGAATATGAACGCATGCTGATTCACGAAAACGGTGTCGTGGATACCGAACGCTGGAAACTAATCAAACGGAAGGAAAACCTTTCAGCTTATCAGGATCGCTGTGCACATGTTGTGACCCGTCGGGCTTCCTGCAGCACTCTCAAGCCAACCATCGAAGGTACAACAGATTCGACTTTCTTTCCATCCACGCCTGACCCAACTAAGCAGAGGTTACTGTGGCACGGCACAATCAATTGCGACCTTGATGATCTCATGCTTGGAGGGATCAACCAGAATGCAGATATGTGGAAAGTCAAATCGTCTTACGTGGAGGATAACAGGCTGGACTACTTTGTCATTTCGTCGATCAAAAAGCGCACTGTTGACAAGCCATTCGATGGCTTGCAGGTCACGTGGACTGTCAATGATATTGGGCCAGCTCTGGCAAAGCCGCTCATGCGTCCTCGCGACTTTGTCTTTATGGAAAGCACGGGTATTACTCATTCCCCGATCACGGGCGAGCGAATCGGCTACCACATTTGCAAGTCGTTGAGGCTACCTGGTGTTCCTGAATTGTCGGATTACAAGCTGGTGCGCGGCAAGATCGAGCTGTACCACATCTTTCGACAAAAGAGCAAGGGAGTCGTTGAAGTATACGTGCGTGCGCTTTGCGACTTACAAGGCGGAATGCCGCCTACTAGCGTTCCTTTTTTCTCAGCCGAGGCAATGTCCACGCTCTCGCTCACAGCCTTTTGTGCGGAGAGACACAAGGTGATATGGCTGCTCCATACAAGCATGGAACAACCGTGTGAGAGTGAGAATTCGTCCCTTGATATATGTAGTGTGTGCATGAAAGGTTTAAGCAAGAGCTTGCTACCCTTCATGAACAAGAATTGCCAAATATGCTCCGGTCGCATTTGCGCACGATGCCGAATTCCGAAAAAGTTGAGCTTCCTCAATCGACGGACACGGGGTATCATCAAGAAGAACGTTGACATTTGCACTCGCTGCGTACACACTTCTGCGCACATGAATGCTTTTACAGTTGCGCAGGGCGAGTTGGCGCTCGAGAATCCGATTTTCATTTTCTATGAATCCGCGGTGAGCCGAAGAGTGTCTTTCGTCTCTTCGGTATCTTTATGCTAGAACTCGAGAGATTCTTGGCTGACCTTACCACGTCGAGGCAGGTTGATGACCTCTTTGGCTTCATACGTTTGATGAACGAAGCTAGTAATTCATCTGCTTGACACATCACATGTGGAAACATACCACCACGAATTTCTGAAACCTCTCCTCCATCTGATGGCTTGACGCATCTGGATCGAATATAGTTGTCGTGTGGAGACTGCTATAAGTCTGAACTTGATACCTTGCCCCCCTCGTCTCAATTCCTTTCCCACTAGACAACTATCTAGACAGTAAGCGACGTTTTTGATGAGAACCACACCGCAAATGAAGTGGGCCTCACCGACATTAGATGACTTCGGTCAGTTAGTTACGTCACACATGGGGTGAAGACTCAGCACGGCCCATTTAACAAATTGCTTAGCACTGCACAGCTCAGTTTCCGATAGCATACGGCTAACGCAATTACCATGAGAGCTTCCTGTCCATTCGCAACCCCTCTTTCGCTTTCGGAACGCGACCGTCTCTCAATGCACAAGTTGGCACAACGGCATGTCAACGAAACAATGGTAGATTATGAGCATGTTCTGGTGAGCAAAAGCGGCTTGCCTAACGCCACTCGTTGGAAACCAGTTACAAGAAAATATAACGTCATCGTATACCAGGACCAGCTCGCGATTGAAGAGATCAAGCGCCAGAAGCGGAAGACGAAATCATTAGGCGACATTCTTGATATGACTCGGGTTGGTGATCTGCTGTCGAGAAGTGTGGGTCCCGGAACGCTCCGGTCAGCGGCAACTGCATGCAATAGAGATACAGTGGTAAGCGAACTGAACAAGACGCCGACGATGATCTGGATGGGCACCATCGAGTGTGAATTAGACGACCTCATGTACGGTCTTGGCAGCCAGAGCGATGAGGTGACTCGCATCAATTCTTCGTACTCGGGAAACAATATGCAAGATTTCGCTACACTCGCTTTGCTAGAAAAAGCAACACCAAGTGACTCGTTCCATTCCTTGCAGCTCAAGTGGGAAGTCAACAACACCTTGACGAAAGCAAAACCGTTGTGGCGCTCCTGTGACTTTGTGTACCTCGAGGCAACAGGCGTGATAGTGAGTCGTTCAACGGGACAACGCATTGGGTACCAGATCCTGCATTCGCTCGACGTTCGCGGCATAACTGATCTACCAAGACACAAACTAACTCGGGGTAGACTGAAAGTCTATCAGTTGTTCCGCCAGAAGTCAAAGGGTACCGTCGAAGTCTTCGCAAAAGGAATGGTAGATTTGGCTGGTGATATCCCGGTCACCATGGTATCATATGCAACCATCGAAGCAGCCAACTGGGTCAACACAGCAGCCGAGTGCGCTCGCAAACGGAAACTCAACTGGCTGCTCTTCACTGCGGCGACCAAATGTCCTAACTACGCTGCTACAGGCCACAATGAATCGTGCTGCAGCGTGTGCGCTCGAAAGCTCCGTAACGCTTTTGGTCAGAAAACCTTCTTCGATTGCCACATCTGCACTGAACGGGTGTGTTATCGATGCCATGTACGTCAAGAATTGAGCTTCATTACACCCGACAAGACTTCGTTCGTCGTTAACCGAAAATCGATCGACTTGTGCACTCGCTGTGTGCACACAGCAACACAAACGAATGCTCAGCGGGTAGCACTTGAAGAGCGTGCACTGGGAGACCCGGTATCGATGTACAAGTACATTTCTCGTGAGAAGCATCTTTTGTTGGAGAAGGCTACGTGCTTCGATGTCAAAAACTACGGAGGAAGACGCAAAGAATCCAACCCATAAAGCCGTTTTCCTCGATCGAGTCACGGAAGTGTTTCACCGCCTATTTTAAGGCAAACCTCGATACCAGAACAGCTTCGTGTCGTGAGCGAAAGATAGTTGCTGTTGCAATTTGCTCGATTGCCTTCATGTAACAACTTACTTCTTCACCTTGTGTGCGTGTCGTAGCACAGGCAATGTTCCATTACTTTAACTGCTACCATCTCATTCAAAGCATCCATTACTTCAGTACTCAGTCAGCGTTCTTGTTGGGAACGTGTAGATGCTATCCACTTCATCTGCTTCAACACCACCAATTTGTTTGAAGACCATCAGCATGTCAATTCGTCTATTGTATCCATGATAGACACCAGCAGCAAATTCACATGGAGTCAACAAAAAATTTACTCTCACTTCCGATGACATGCGTCGCTTGATGCACATTTACGATCCCGGTAAGCATGGTGTCTTGCAAAATCCATCAAAGCAGCTAATTCTGTGAACACAGTAACCAAATGCTGGCAAGAACCCAGCGTCATCGAATCCGACAAGAATTCGCTCGTCAGTTATGCAGAATCGCTTGAGTGGTGCTGCACACATCAACGCAAACGAATGCGTACGCGCAAAAGGCGGCGTCGATGTACATGTACATTCTTCAACTGACGAGGTTGTCGGTAAAGTATCATTTGAAGAGATCACATCGTTTGACGGGTTGTGAGAAGCCGTTCTCCTCGATGGAGCAACTCAAAGGGACCATACTCACAACTAGACTCCAAGACCTTTTTTCTAGAGGCATGTAGAGTGTTATAGTTGCTTGCGTGACGTAGTTACATACGAAAGCAGTGCTTCTCACTCCTTTCTCCTGCTCGTTTGTTAGTGTCCACCGCAGTAGTTCTGGTTCAATGGCATAAGTGCAGAACCGACAGCAACTCGGATACGCTTGAGAGAATTCTTCTTCTGTGCTATCCGATGGCCCTGAGTTAATACATCAAGTCTTGTCACTTGACATAGACTCGATGATATAGAGATTAAGCTCCGTGACAGTGTCATCCAAGCCGAGTGTGCAGGCATGCACACGACGAGAGATCCCATTCGGTCGAAACTCATACATCCATAAGCTTGCCACCTTCTTTCACACGAATGAAGGCAACGACAATCGATTTGTAGGCCCCGACTTGCAGCTCACTGACTCAAATGCACCCCATGGCGTCTAGACTGATGCCGCTCCGTAACGTGCCTACGTTGGTTCATACACGGCGATTAGCCAACTTGCCGTCCTCGACAATATCAAATCAAAAGGCGTGAGTCGGCCGGCCAACGCTTCGCTCACGATGAGTGTTTTGCCATCCGGAATGATCACCATGCCGTTTGAATGCAGAAGACCTGTTGCCTCCACACGAACGTCCTAGCTCACGAATCGATACTCACCAAAGGCTATCGAACACCATAACGCTGTTGCAACAAAGGCAAGTTGCAAACTCAAGTGCTTTTCACGATTCCAGAGCATCGACTCCCATCTGACACACAATCGTCGATGATGAAGTTGTCAATGATACGTACGCCACGAACGAAACGTTCCGCACATTGGATACGACGACACATGACATGGCTACCCAACATTTCGGTGAAGTACTGTATTAACAATAACTTCAACTACAGCCTGGGCAGTTGTGCAGCGAATCATGCACGTAGATATCGCACTCGTTGCAGAAAACGCTCTGGCACGTGGTGCACTCGTACGCGGCGCCTTCACCATCGCGCCCTAACGGCAGCAAACAGCCGAAACACTTTTTCTGAACCAATGACGGTGTGACCTTGGCTTCTTTTTTCGCCAGTCCCGCTAGACTGCAGCAAATGCTGCGTGAACTTGGCCACCGGGAACAAATGATGATACGATCGCGCAAGATGCGGCGACGACACGAGCGGCAAGTTGCAGACTTGGCATGTCGTTGGCAGATCGCAGCTCTTAGACTTGCAGCGAGGACACAGGTAACCTACCGTCGTAAACGCCTGATGGCACGTGCAGAGGGACAATGCTCCACTGCGACGCTGTGGGAACCCCATTTCCACTAGTGTAGCAAAACGCGAAGCTGCTGTCGCAACCGTGGGCGAAGGGAACGTGAACGATGTCATAAGTCTCTTCATATGATCAGCATCCACAGCAACATGGTACGTGCCGTCCGTGCCGTCCGCAATGCGACGAAGCAAGTGCATCTCTGCCCCAATACCAATGAACGACACCCGCACGTTTTCTCTCTTTAACGATGCCAGTGTCTGGAAAATATCACTCGGGTCGGCCGTTACGAGATTGCCATAGACCACGACAATCTCTCGACTACCATAGGCTGGCACGGTTTTCAGTGCACTTCTAGCAATTTCCAGCGCGTTCTGCAATGATGGTTCCTTATCTACTGCCAAAGCAGCAGCAATGCGTTCAATGTGAGTCTTGGGATTACCCGATAAGTCACTGAGTTTCTCAGCTGTCATGCCCTTAATCCCAATGACTCCTAATTGAGAAATAGGATTCTGGTCAAAATAGTCCTTTACAAATTGCTGCAGGACTTTACTGGTACATGCGAGACGGTGTGGTTTCCAATCCTTTGTAGCCATTCCTCGAGATAGATCCATCACTACGTACATGTAGCGGATCAGTCCTTTGCGTACATTCCGTGCAATTTCTAGTCGACTAGTGGTACAAAACGTTATTGTGAAGTATTCGTTAAGTAACAATAATGAATTATGTATTAATTACGTACCGTTGGCGATGCTGATTCGTGACTGCTTGATCGATCTTGAGGTTTCCTGCATCGTCTTCTTCAATTACATCCCAACTACGTTCTAATGTACCTTCCCACGCATATCCAGAGGATGCTATAGACGAAAATAACACCGAAATACATCAGTTTCAAGTGTTAAAAACGACATTTTAGATCACCCCCCCCCCCCTGGCTCACCCTCTTCCTCCATTTTTAATACTGAATAAACGTGTACCAAAAAACTGGTACAGTAGCCATGTCTTACGTAGCATGTAGCCATGTCCCACGTAGCATGTAGCCATGTCCTAGGTAGCCTGTAGCCATGTCCTAGGTAGCCTGTAGCCATGTCCTAGGTAGCCATATTGTATGATGTTGAAGTGAGACGTTAGATGGGGGAATTGTAGGATAAGTTACGTAGGAGGAGAGTGAGGATCCTCGATACTAAATGACAACGTGCATTGTCCATTCAGACAAAGAAGATGGTAGTTTTGAGTGATCCTGATAGAGTCGATACTCCTACTGGACTTTCACACACGGACGAATACGCCATCGAAGGAGACGAGTACAATGACAATGGCTCCCGATCTCCAGTATCCAGTGAATCAGTTGAGAAAACAGACAAATGCTGCCTGTCAATCAAACACCTGTCGCTGGACTCTAGCATACTAACACTTAGTGACGTGGGGGAGGCCGATGATAAGCTCGGGTCCCGAGAAGACTCACAACTATAGCCGCTATCGCCCGTGTGATCGCTTTGAAGATATTCCGTACGATCGTTCTGGAAAGTTGGTGAATCCTGGATATCAAACAGCTTCTCGCGCACGAAATTGGCTAGTCGAGTAGCATATTCGTCGGCAGGTACAGCACTTACATCGTGAGTATCCTTGCAGAGCAAATAGCCCAGGAACCAACGCTGCACAGTCCAGCGCCAATTGTATCGCTGCAACATGTCGACAATACCAACGTAGTAGACTTCGTTCTTATCGTGAGACAATAGACCATTTTCATGTGGCCTGCGTTGTGCGGGGGTATCGTATCGAACACCAAGTAGAATGCTATAATCGATGATACCCCGGCTGGCAAGGAATACAAAGTCACTGCACAATTGATCTTGCTGCACGACCGTGTTCGCATACGACAAAGACATACCCGAGCTGATTGTGAGAAAATCAATGTCCATCAAAAGCTGGCTGATGGCCTGCTTATCCTTGGCAACCTGGATGAGGCCCTCCATGTCGGTTGCGCTTACTGCCTGCCGTCGATCACGATTTCCTTTGAGGTCAAACCGTTGGTGAACTGGGCCCTCGCTGAAGAGATTTTGCATCACCACAAAGTACATACGACGTTTGCCGATGGGCAACGAGATTGAGTGACAACCAAAGTAGCGACACAGCGTCGACTGTGGGTTTGACTGCAGGTACTGGTGGTAGTGTGGCCTGCAAAAAAGGTGAGCAAAGTGTTAGTTGGCCAAAGATTACCTTTGCTCGAGATGATAAAGCACGCACAAGATGGCTCGTAACGTATTGAACTCCTCCTTCGGTACACTTTTCACCATGAACTGTTTGTTCGCTGCTCAAACACACGTGAACAGAAGTTATTAGCTTTGTGTGTTGCTTTGAATCATGGCAAAACAAACGCATCGCACCTGTAAAGTAGAAAATGTTGCCACTCTTCCCTTCCGAGCCGTGTTCACTGAGAATGCGAGATGGATCGAACGATTCCCTGTAAAAATCCTGATCAATCTTGAACTGCGCGCGAATTTGATGGAAGACCTTCGGTGCGCAGTCACGAAAGTTGAGCATCGTGCTGTTCTTTAGACCATAGACGACGACACCCATGCTCTTCACGTAGTTATAGTCATTGTAACTAATGCTCGAGTAGTAGTCGCCATCATTCCATCCGACAGCCTCGGTGTCCGATCCTGTGAATTCGGCACTTGAGCTGATCCCTGTTGCCTTCTTTTCGACGATCTGTGCTATTTCAATGGACTTCATAATGCCCAACGACATGTATCGCATCACATCCATACGAAGTTTGTTTGATACGTCAATCTTTTCTCTTTGGTTGTTGTTGTTATGCGCAGAAGCAACACCTCTTGATGATGAAGTCATAAGCACACCTCCAGCTTCAATCTGTGAAATGGTGGTTCGCGATGGATTGCTGTAGTTGCTGTCACCTCTTTCGGTTTCGTCTTCATATTGCTCCATCGGGGCGCTGAAGACCCCAGCGTCGCGACAGAATAACGCAAACAATGTTAAGGTCTCAAGCACGAGCGAAAACTGGTCTAGTGCGTTGGGTGTCAATCGACCAAACGCTGAACCTAACTGCATTAGATAGATAACCAAGGCCACTAGCGTATGGACGACAAATACACCCAAGTAAGGTAGAATCCGCTTCGCCATCCGTCTCGTGGTGGCATGTGCGTGTGTTTCAAGTATTCGAGAGCGGCGCCAGGACTGAATAAGTGCAAAACCGATGTAGACTAGCACCAAATACGCCGGCAAGTCGAAGTACAGCACAACGTTTGCAGTTGTGTTCTCGTGGAGTTTCCCAAAAACGTAGCGGAAAATGAGACAGTAGATCAGCGAACCTGGCCAGGCGTAGATGTGGTGCTTGACATTGTCGGCGTTGAATGGCAGGAACGGATTCGAGAGCGAAAAAATTAGATCGAGTGCCAGCATGAGATACCACAGCGTCGCAGAAGTGCTGAAGAAGAAGTAGCACCAGAAGAAAAAGGGTACATAGGATTCCAAGTTCCCTGCGTCATGGCCCAGCTCCTCGTTAGCTATCCTGCTAAGGGTAGCAGGCACTGATCCTCCGACATTGTCCGGATCTAGGAGAACAAACCAGGCGTGCAGTCCTACGCGCATGATGCTTGCAATGCTCACACTCATGAAGATGCTCATTAGCACCATACCCGGATGCACCCTCGAACTAGGATACTTGATGAAGAAGAAGATCATGGCTCCGCTCGATAGTAGGCCCGAGGCCAAGGCCGTGAGTTGCCAGACCATCAGGAGGTCGTGCATCGTCTACCGACTTAGATTGTGACTCTTCGCGGTGATCGCGCTCGACACGAATGTCACGCGCGACCTCAGTGAGTGCCGTTTGATTTGAGCGTGTTGGGGTCGCCAACAAAGGTGCAAAATCGAAAGAGAACGAGGACACGATGAGGAGTTCTACAAGCAAGAAAAACGCTTAATGGTGAGAGAAATGTACTTGCACTAAGGGCGAGTTGCACTGGCTCACTGGAGGACTGTGTCGTCTAGCAATGGGGGTTCCTTTTCTAGTTCCAGCTTCAGAATAATATGCAATCGAGTTGAGAAGATGATACGGAAGCAGCGCTGAAAAGGAACACGGAGCGAGAGTTCTTCAAGTCAAATGCTCATTGCCTTCATCTCGAAGAGGTGGAACTTTGCACGAATCAACAGACTGTCAAGTCGTATAACGCAGTCGACCGTAAACTTGGTGCATTTTGCTGGACTTAAATGCTGCAGACGTAAGACAGGCGACGCTATAGCAAGCAGTCCCTGTTGCTAAGATGAATACGGACTGTTGTAGCTTACGCATTAGTTCCTATCAGTCGACACCTTTCGTGTATCATCAGTCTTCTTTCTTTTTTCTATCACAGTGCTGCCAACAACTGGTGCAGTGCTTTCACTGATACTTTCGAAAGATGAAGCTGAACAGTCATTAAGAACAGCGATTAGAACCCCACAAAAGCCCGACCCTTTGGCCCACACACTGACTCGCGTACGTTCAGTATCACATACACTTTAACATCTTCTATAGCTAAAGTAGGGAGCGATATGACAAGACGTCGACACATTTCGGTCGAGTCCTTATTGCACGTGTCATTCCTCAATTGCAAACTGAAACCGCGTCACGAGGCAAGAACCTTCACCCATTCTGCTCATTTCTCGATAAGCAATTACTCAGCTTATATTTGAGGTCTGTGTACACGGATGCTGACCGATACGAGGAGCGCAAGAAACCTCTTTGGCTATGTCTCTTGCTAACAGATTTATCAAATATATATACTACAAACATATATACTTGATAAATCTGAAGGGTCCCAGATACTTGTTGGTGGCACCGTGTTGCGTTATCTCAAGACATTCAAGGACAAAGTGAGATGCTTGTATTTGTTTGACCTTTTCCGTAGTATCAACAGCATCCTCATTGTAGCATGCTTTCAGCCTCTTTCACAACACGTCGCCTCTATTTTATTTGATATCTACACTGAGGTGTGGTTGCCGTACTATATTTCGCGTTGAAATGGTTCGAATTTGTCAATGTCTCGCTGTCTCACGCAACTTTCATCCGATGATAGATACTAATCCTGATTCTCAGTAGAGACGGTGACATTCACATGTCCGTCTTCGTAGCCAGCAAAAGGCTACGAAGATTGCTGGCTGTCACAACGGATATTACCTATGAACGTGTGATGTGCTACGCAGGCGAATGAGCTCAAGGATCGTGTACGCTTAAAAACACGCGGAGAAGAATTGTTCGCCACCGCTAGGCTCACTTCTACACACATTTGCCCAAATTCGAGGCTTACAACTTCTCTCTGGATGTACAGCACAACACGAGCTTGTTAGGTGGCAATAAACGTCTGTTTTGTCCATCTCGAAGTGCTCGCAATTGCGTAATACAGAAAACAACTTGCCTAAAATGATACCCTTTGGAACCGGAGGCATCTTTCGTGAAGACAAGTTAACAATTACAGAAGTATTACTATAGGCCGATTCGATAGTATTTAGCAGATAGAAAAACTTATTAGCTACAAGTGTCTGTTTCTAATAATAAAAAATAAATAAATAAAAATAAAATAGCTTCTAGACGGAGATATTATAATCGTATATATTGAAATGTACTCATTTTGAATCATGGAGACCGTCGACGAATGCTCTGCAAAACAGACCAGACATGATCCTCATGCAAAGTCTGCCGTGAGCGAAGAAGAAATGCCTCTTTTATTCATGGATAGATTGCCGTCTAATTTTCATGAGAACGCAGAGCTGGCGGCTATTGCAACGTTCATGGACAGCGCCGACGAAAAAGAAAGCGACGATGACGATGAAGCCTCTGGCAGCGGCAGCAAACAGCGTCAACAGAGACACGATGTGTCCATGAAGTCGATAAGACGACAAAAACCCTATACCAAGTTGACACTACAAGACAGGAACAAGAGAAAGAGGGACAAGACCATGACCTCCGATACGAAAGAGCTGCAGCTTTTCCTGTCCATGTTTCATGTCAGTTAATCCGTTAGACGAGTGTAATGACGTCTTAGAAACTACGTAGTAGCAGCTCGTGCTTTTAAAAAGCATGGTAGATTGCTACTACTCAATCAAATGGTACAGCTCACTGATGCGCGCAGTCCATCAAGATATTGGTCAGATCGTTGTTGAGCAGTTGACGTGGAGGTGGGAAGGGGACACTTTGCTTCACCATGGAACAGATCCACGATGCTAAACAGGGTCCTTATCTCCTAGTGTAAAGTCGATTTTTTTGAGCTGGAACCAGTAAAAGTAGCTGGAGTAGGACCAAATGTCTTCCTTATTCCATTCAAGTCTCCGCCACCTATTGACTCATACGAATAAGTTGGTTTTAAACTGGTTGGTGTGCATACTGTCTTGCATACTAATGTATGCTCCCCCCACTTCAAATAGGAGTTAATTTCTTAGCGATGCTGTATGGTTTACTATATTTTGTCTAACCTTTCTAGTCTGTTGCTGTACCATAGAGTTCCTCAAGATACTTCCAATACTTACAAGTCGTTTCGCTTCCACCGATGGTAAAAGTTACCCACGGTTATTCAATCCACGTACAAATACCAAGTACTCGTACATGTACTAGCGTGACAAGACACTCAAACGTTGACTCCTGGTCTGCCACAAACCCTTCAGCCACTGTCATTGTCTGTAGTCCCACAAATCTGAAAAGTGTCAGGCGTGCCGCGTCCTCAAGCTTATATAGCTGTTACTATCTCCTATCATAATTTCCGACGGTGACTTAGGTCACTCAATCGATGGTTCCGGAAACGGCTTATTCGTAAGCAGGTAGCGCCAAATAAGCCAGCCAAAGCATTCGACGTGAAGTGTCACTCGGTGGCCATTGCCAAACATGATTGCCATGGTACCAGTGAGGGGCGGAGTCGACTTAGTGGTCCATGAGATAAAGTATAGGTTGGATATTGGTGAGAAAGAGTGGATCTCAAACTCCGAAAAGCGGTCACCTGGTGGAAGGCGGAACAGCCACGCCCAGAACGAACGGATCTTGCCTTTGTTGCGCATGCGCAAAGAGGTACGCCAAAAGTCCTTGATGCTCTCAATGCCATAGTAGCAGCGCGACGGCATCGATACGGCCAGCACTGAATTCAAGTCCCAAATTGAGTCCGCATCAAGTACAAAGTCCTTAGGCAGACTTTGCGTAAAAATTTCCTTGATCTTTAACAAAATATCCATTTGAATGCCGCGCTTCAACGAAACGCGCTGTCCCTCATTCAACTCCGTGTTTTTGACCAGCATTTCCGAGAGAGCCTGGTTCTCCGCTGCCAGCGACTCCGCCTTGTGCTGCAAATACTCCAGTTTCAGAGCCTGACGCTGTCGGCACTTTTTTACAGCTGCACGGTTACGCTCGCGCTTCTGCTCAGATGAGTAATTCATACTCTTACGTCCACATCGGCGCTTGCATTGGTCCTCCCCCTCCTTTTCACTTTGAGACGAGGCAGTAGAAGCAGCAGCAGGTATCTTGGCGATAGCCCTCTTCGCCTCTGACGCTTGCTGTGCCGGCTCTTCTGCAGGATTATGGATCGGCGGGTTATATGGTCGCTGTCTCTTCGTCTTCTGCAGACGCATAATCGATTGACTTGACCGTTGTCGGCTAGAAGGCAGATCGACAATGCCATCGCCGGCACCAGTCGGTAACACATTTTCATAGTCATTACTACGGGATAAAGCGGCACACGTAGGCGTAGGAACCAGATCTTCATACAGTGCTTGATCTGCGGTCTCACGTCGGTCCCGAGGCAAGTCTGAATCCTGGAATGACCGTCTACCTGTCATTACCATTTCGTCATCGGTCAGGCGTTCGCCATATTGGGGCCTTCTCAGCATTTGGTGGTGCACTCGCTGCCGAGAGGGAACCGACGCCTGTGCATACTCACGTTGTCGAAACATGGACGCTGTAGCAGTATAGGACTCGTCTTCATCCGGATACATGTCTAGCGTGGCTGGCTCCAGTGGCATTCCGTCTATCGGTGGTCCAAATCTAGAACTGCGTGTGAACGAAGGATCGAATGCATTGTAACGTCGGTTTTGCATCTCTCTCGCGCGGACATCTCGTACCAAGTCGTTAGAACGTGAACCAAAGGACGAAGATCCAGGGTCCAGCATGTTTCTAGATATGCGTCGAGGTGGTTCAAACGGCATGTTACTTAAAGGCTCTCTCGCTCTTGTTTCTCGAGCGTAAAACCCATGCTCTGCCGGGTGATTGGGTGTTCGTCTATGAAGCTGCGATGTCAATGAGTCACCTCCAAATTCTTGTTGCATGGATTGCTGGTACTGTATCTGTTGGTATGAGCGTTGTAACTGGACCTGACTGTGTCGTGGCTCCATCTCATAGTCCATCCGGAAAGCCCTGACAGTCTTGTAGTCTTCCGAGCTTTGTAAGCCGTCTGAGTGATCCGAGTCAAATTGGCTGCCTTCAAAATATCCAGAGACCGACGAGGGTGCTCTGAATCCATGTGCAGCTGCTCTTTTTACCGTCCTAGAGCGGACCTCCCTAATGTCCATGAACGAGGTAGAAGGAGGAACTCGAGAATCCGACGATTCATCAAAGGGCCAATCAGTAAACCCTATTGATGCTTGTGTCTCCATGGCTGGAGCAAAGATAACAAGCAGCAACAACATAAGCCGAAAGAACTTAAAATAGACGATGTACCGGTCTGAAAAAAGACCAACTTTACGCACGTGGAGGCCAACGGCTCATGGGACGACGGCTTTGTATGGGGTAGCGTGGTAAATGCTGCTGTGTCGTAAATAGATCACTTGTCGAAAGGAATATATTATTGTCGGGGTGATTGGCGTCGTCTTCTGCGTCCCAATGTCGTAGAGTCGAGCGTGACGAAGCACGCATCAAGAGACTTTATTTGGAAATAATTTAATAGCACATAAATTACTAACGTGTAATTCTTTTGCTGGAGCATAATATTCTTGCACAAAGAATAAATTACGGACAGTGGAGTCAAATCATCATTGATGCGTCTTAATTCCTACGATTTCAGGATCATTTCGGGGGTTTATTCAAGCTAATTCGATGTTCATGGAAAGACATGCACAAGAAAAAGACAGGTTGTGTAATATGTTGTTGTGTCGCATGTTCGTTGATATTACATAATGTTCTGGTTCGTTTTGAGCCAGGGAGAAAAAGGCGGGATAGTACATCAGCGTTAGGTAGTGGTAGACCCCCTATATCAAAAGATAACAACGTGACATTGTCTTACATGGTAACCTAAAGCCACGTAATTTTAGCATCTAGTTTGACAAGATTCGCACACCGATGACTTGAGCGAAAAAGCTGTGAACAAACTATAGCAATAGGCCACAAAACATGCGACGACGTAAAACGTTGGGGTCCTTATAATGCTGAGGTTTTCTTGAGCGAGCCGAATACAATGTCTCTATGTGGCTGTTACTGCTGCATGCTCTTTAGAGATCGATTTAGTTCTCCAAGGTGGATTATACGAAAGGGGATGCACAGGCGAGCTTAAAGGATCTCAGCCTATGGCTGTATAAATCCATCAGACATTTACCGGGTGCACTTCAAACAACTTAAGTGAGGTCGTTCCATTTAGAATGCTATATGAAGCCGCCGAGCTGCATAGCTTTTCCCACGACCATGAGCGACGATAACATAGCGACGAGCGCATAACTCGACAAAAATACCAAGTCAAGTAGACTAGATGTTGGACTGAGCACTGGGATCATGATATCTAGGCCACGATCATCTGCAACGTTGGTTGTTCTCAATGAACTGCCTAAGCAGTTGAGTCGTGCTTTATGAAGACGCAATTGTGCTGTACGGTCTGTTTGAAAACTTACTTACAAGTCAGAAGGATAGTCACTGGACGAGCTTAACGATCACGGCGTCAATAACGGCATGCAGGTAATTCCTTTGTCCATCCAGTTTCGTGCGAGGAGATCTCCTACACTGAGGAATTAACCAGTAACAACTGAACGTCTTGCTTCCTCGATATAATCAGTAGCACTTTGATAGAGTAGTAAAGAAATGACCACACTCCCAATTCTCCACTACCAAAATTGTTGCAGCTTTAATCCGCTTGCTTTTACTTAGCCCTCAAGCCGTCTCCTGTTCGTCGACTCGGTAGATTCAGAATATCAGTCTCAACCAACAACGATGACGTTCGGCCGGTAGAATCACATCTGATACATTGCAGCGCATAACAATGTGCTCAACCTTGAGCGTAAATCGCAGCACTTATAGATAGCCGGAGCGGCATTACCTGGGGAATGGCGAGCTCGTTCGGAAGCCCCATTGCTGCTTGAGACAGATAAGCGTTATGGGTACGAGCGCATAGAACTGCAGTCTAAAGTGCGCGACTTCAAGGTGATAACGCTCAGGTTTCAAGACACACTATAATTCAAAACTTGAATGAGCGTGGTACATGATGAACGACTTCCTTGTTGTCTTGGCAAATACACCTTTGGTAACTTCTCAGGTTAAGAAAGACACAGCACGCATTCATTTCAAAATTGATAACCACCAACTTATAAAAACCACGTATATCTATCAGGATTCAAGTGAGCATCCAATTGTCTGAATGTCTCGCTACTCCTTACCAGCTAGCTGCTGTCCGCTTACTATCGCTGTAACATCCAATCCTGGTGCTCAAATCGACGATAGATACCAGTCTAACTACTTCCAGCCGCAATGGCCTCGGCTCAAAAATATCTGCTACCGGCATGCACGCACGTATAGATGACGCGCCCGGTGCTGACAGCCAGCACTCTTACACCTTCAAATCCTTAACGCTAGCCTTCTTCTGTTTTTTCTTTCGCTTTTCCTTTCGGCGCTGGTTGCGAGCCTTCTTCTGCGACTCCGAAAGGTCTGAGACGCGACCCACCTCGTCCACGCCACCAGGCGACTCAAAACCATCGCTCACCGTCGACGCCGACGAGAGCGGAGCTTTTTGGATATTCTCTTTGCTTTGGCTACGTTTTTTCTTCTTGGGCTTCTGGTCCACAGCCTTCACCATCTCCTCGGGCTTCTGCTCCACATCATCCCCCATCTTCTTAAGCTTCTGCTCTGCAGCCTCCACCATCTCATTGGGCTTCTGCTCTGCAGTCTCCATTATCTCCTTGGGCTTCTGCCCTGCAGTCTCCATTATCTCCTTTGCTTTCTGCTGCACATCTTTCACGATCTCCTCTGGCTTCTGCTCCGCGTCTTTCACGATCTCCTCTGGCTTCTGCTCCGCGTCTTTCACGATCTCCTTGGCTGCAGCTGAGAGTGTGACGACCGATGCCTTTTTCTCCGTCATCTCGACCCTGAACGAGTGCATGTCGTCCGCATTGCTCGTAACCGTCACCGTCTTACCCACTACAGTCTTGGACGCTGTCGGCTGGCTCGTCACATTCGTCTCTACAACCGTGGACCCATTCGACGTAGTCGTCGTTGTTGTCCTTGTAGTTGTGGTAGAAGTAGAAGTCGGCTTCACCTCGGAAGTCTTCACGTTTGCTACCTTCACCTCCTCGACCAGGACGCCATAAACCTTGGGCTCCTCAGTCATGCTCTCCTCCTTCTTCTGCTCAACCTTCACCTCCACCTTCTGGACTTCAACCTTCTCCTTATCCTCAGCGTTCACCTCTACCTCCTCCTTAGCTGCGACCTTCTCCTTTTGCTCAACCTTCACCTCTACCTCCTCCTTAGCTGCGACTTTCTCTACCTTCATCTCTTCAACGTTAAGCGCGACCTTAATCTCGTCCACCTTCACCTTCTTCTCTTCCACCTTCACCTTAATCTCTTCCACCTTCACCTTCTTCTCTTCCTCCTTCCCTTCCTTTTTGATCTTCACAGCTTCATCCTTAGTGGCAGATGCCACTTCTGCCCCAGCTGCAGCATTGACGAGCGCCTTTTTACCCACTTGAGCCTTGTCCGAGAGCTTGATCTTCTTCTTCTTCTCCTCCTCGGTCTTCTTCTTCTCGTCCTCCCCCTTGGGCTTGGACACTTCATTTGATTCTTCATTGGCACTTTCATCGCTAGCCGTTTGCTCCTCCTCTTCCTTAGCTTTGTGCGCCTTCTTGGCCTCTCTCAGGCTCTTGTCTATCTGCAGGAACTCGCGTAGTAGCTTGGTCATTATTCCAGGCTGTTTTCTCTTCAAGAAGAACGCCATCACTGCTTGAAGGAATGCATCCAGTCTTGGTTGACGGTCCTCGGGCTTGGGCGTAGAGAAGAAGCCGCCCTTGGGTGGAAAATTAAACTTAAAACTGCGCTCGGCAGCTCTGAGCTGGTCGTAAAAGGCCAGGAACTTGCTGTAGCGAATGGCGAGCGTCCATGAGACACCGTCTAGAGTCACTACCGTTGTATACGTGCAAAATGATACACGATTAAAGCTCGTGACACGCGCCGAGAGGGTTGCCAGCGAGGTCATAATTAGGGAAAGGGAGAGGGGGGGGGGTCCTGTCCTCAAAGACGACTGCTGTTCGACGAAGATTCTGGAATGCGGTCAAAGACACTCGAGGGCCGTGCTTTTGGCTCGCAAGACGTTCGATAGACCGTACACTGCGTCGTGTCTATAGACCTAATACTGGCCAGTCTCGGATTTGCAATGGTATCAAGATTTGAGAGCGTGGAGCAGAACCAACCGAAGAGCCAGGTCTTTGTCTTATTTGGCCAGATTTTGTGCATCTGGCTCATCGTCGGCACGAATAGAGTATGATCATAGCTTTCAAGCATAGTGAGCTTCTTGCAAACGCGTCGAATATGTATCAAAAGGACGATTGTTTGCTACAAGAAAGCAGCACAAACGACAAAGTATTTATGGGATCTCAAGTCACTTCTTGAGACCATTTCGATTCCTGCCGATTCCAGCACATTTTACACGATTGCTACAGATGCATGTAATGCCAGAGCCCAGGTTCAGCCACGTGTCGTGGCTACCCCCCCTCCCTCAAGTTTTGCATCGCGTGTGTACAACAGTTTCGGTCAGATGATAAATGCATTGGCTGCAACACCTCGTAGCATTTTTGCCTACTTCACATTATTATAGTCTCGGACGTCGGCACCAATCTCACGATCAGCTTTAGAAGCTTCAGTGCAGATTCCCTGAGACAGTCAAAAGCAGACATCATGGCCTTAGACCCCGTACATTTTCGCACGGAGACAGAATGACAGCAAGCTACTGAACTCCAAAACTCGATCATGTGCGGGCTGCAATAGTTGATAGTTTAGATGATTCGATAGATCGGATGGTTTGAATGCTTGGGGGTAATTGAAATGGTTTCGATGTCGCGACGAGTGATGTGAGCAAAGACGACCTTAACTTTATTTGTACTTACGTTATATCATACAATTACGGCTATGTTTCTTAAAACGCATACAAAGTGAGCGAGCTCTTCAGTGACACTTACGCGAGGATGCCGCTGCTCAATCGCTGCGGCATGACAAAGCAAGATGCTTTCACGTTGCAATTGAAATTTCGGAAGAAAACCGGGTGACGATAGCGTTTAAGACGCAGATTCAATTCCTGTGCGGCAAGCAGGAGCTCAGCTTCCATAGCTTCGGCCTTGACCTCTTCTTCGGCCTTTGTGCAAGCCTCTGCGTCTATCACCTCGGTCTCTGCTTGCGTAGCAGCCTCTTGATTCCCTTGCTCATCTTCTTCCTCGTACTGCTTGTGAACTGCCTCCTCCTCCTTTTCGTCTGGAGATGAACCAAATGAGATGATGCGCCGAAACCAGCCCACCACGGGGTTCTCAGATTCGGTATCCGACTCCAGATCGGATTCTTGACCCTCCTCCTGTGAGAAAAGCTCGTTTTCTTTGACTATCTTCTCTTCACTTTTCGGATCCAAAATCGAAACGGCATCCAGCTTGCTCGTCGTATCTGACACATTTCCAGAATCACCTTCAATAGGCGCCACTGGCTCGAGGGCGCGTTCTTCAGGCTCTGTCGAGGGTACCGTCGTCTCAATGGCGGCCTGTGTTGGAATAGCGTCGGTCGATTCCTCGTGCGTCGCCGTACTCTTCTCAATCGTTGAGGTTACTGTTTTCGCTTCTGCCTTTGCGACGGCGACATTCTTCTGTTGCATCTCCATCTCCACCTCCATTTCCATTGCTTTGTCTTCCTTGATAGACTGATGGGGGTCCAATTTATAAGCAGCTTTAATTTGGTTCTCATCTGCAACAATTGGTTGTAAAGTGTCGTGTTCACTCTCGAGAAAGTCATCAATCACATCGAAGCTTCCCTCACTAGCCGTACGCTCCTCCTCCTCGTCCTTCACAACCAAGTTCTTTGAAATCTCAAGAAGTTCGTCCAGCAAGGCCCCCATACGTTTAGGGTGGTCCCTCATATCAAAGTAAGCAAGAGTGCCCAACATGAACTCATCGAGCTCTTCCTGTCGCTCTTTCGGGGACGGAGAAAAGAACAGACTGCCCTTAGGAGGAAATTTTACCATAAAGTACTTCTCAATGGCCAAAAGACGTTCGTAGAATTGGTAGAATGTATTGTAGCGGATATGTAGCGTCCAAGTGTGGCCATCTACCTCCACTTCAGTTGTATAGGTATGAAAGGTCGTGTAATTAAACCCTGTGACCCGGGCATCAATGTCCCTCATGGCGAAGCTTTAAAGGTTTATAGAAAGAAAAATCTACGCAAAAATGAGACTCTGCTCAAGATAGATGATCCAAAAGTGAGCTCTTATATTAAATGTACTTTATCGTGGAATACACTAGCACAAGTCTTAGCTGATCTTGTATACAATTGAACGATCTTGTTAGTATATTGTCGTTAAATTTTACTTCAAGAGTGACTAAAATGTCGCTTATCAGCAAACTCTATTACACCACGACTTACTCTCTGACTAACATGCGATGTCTAACGCGTCACATTAAACAAGCTAAAACGTTAGGTGTCGCTAGGTACAAGACGCCACTTCAACTAGATTAAGATCGCCAGCACTTTCTAGCGTCAAGCTATTTGCTCGAGCGAACGGGGACTTCTTGTAGTCTTCCAAGAGCGTTCACCTTGTGCGTGTATGGATAGGCGGACAGTGGGACTATTTGTAGGGCGCATGTTCCCCATCTCTACTCAAGACGAAGTGCGACAGTAACAGCTGATTGAACCGATCTATGGCGGGTTGTTGCCATTCCATTCAAGTTCAAGCTGCCGCTTTACGTATCATCGTACATTTATTTTCATGCTGCTGAAGTTTTTTTTCAATCATCGCTTGCGAATCGCAAGCAAATATAGGCAACAACTATGCTTGGCTACTATAGCAAGAGAATCGGTTCAGTCAAACACCGAGCTTACCAGCAAGCTCTAAGTACGATCGGAATCACGTCCGATTGTGGCAAATATACAGCGACGTGCGCAGTCACGTGCGTCATCGGACAGAAACATACTGACGTTCGAATACTGCACATCAAATATTATGATCAATTTACTGGGCTCGATCGCCCGACTTGTCCACAACGACCAACTCTATCTACGAGCAAAAGCCATTGGCAGCAGCAGCGCCACACACAGCACTACCAGGTTGGTCTTCTTCATGCAGCGATGCTGGAAGAACAAAACCAACGACTTGGGCAAATAGGCGGCGATCCAAGACGACGCTTGTTCACTAGTGGCGACTTCCTTTGGCTTCATTTCTTCTTCAAGGATGGTGTCCTCGCTGACCGCACGTTCTCCGTCCACCTGCGAATTCAATGGTGTACGTTCATGTGCAACAGACTTGATGACCAGTTGCTCCGTAGGCAACACCACGTCCGTCTCCTCAAGTGACGAAATTTGCAGATGGGATTTACAAACAGTATCTTTCTGAACTGCGTCCTCGGTCTTTGCTGCAAGTTGTACAGCAGGTACTAGTGGCGAAGGCGAATCAGTCTCCTCTTCTTCGACCACGACCTCGTTAACAATAGCAACGTCTTCCTTGAACGTCTCTTCAGTCACTTCTGATTTGTCCACAGGCGCCGGTGTCACCACTTTTGCTGCCTCTGCAGTGTCGAGTGCAGCCTGTTCTATCTTCTCTAGCTCCACAGAAAGAGGTTCATCAGCTACTTCGCTAACAACCTGCGCTATTGTTATTGGGACAATCTTCTCTGCTTCCTTTAGCTCATCAGAACGAGGTTCATCCGCTTTTATCTCTAGAGCCTCAGCTACCTCCTTGTTCTCAGCAACTTGTATCTTCTTCGTCTCTTCCTCCTTCAAGTCCTTCTTTTCAATAGCAGCAGGTTCGTGCATTGGTTCATCCAGTACGCTCTCCGTACTGGTTGAGACATCGTCGTCGTCGTCACGGTCAGAGGATCTCAAGTGACGTGGCACCTTCAACAAGTCACACAGCAGGTTTTCAACCTTCATCGGGTATCTCTTGGTACTGTAGTATGCAAGCACTTGCTGCAAAAAGATCTCCAGCTGCTCCTGTCTTTCCTCGGGCTTGGGTGTGAAAAAGAGCGTGCCTTTGGGCGGAAATTCTGCATGGAAGTCCTTCTCCTGCACCACAAGTTGGTCGTAGAACTCGTGGAATTTGCTGTAACGCAGTCCGAGTCGCCAGCGGTGACCATCTACAGTCACCTCTGTCGTATAGGCGTGGAAGGACGAGTGATAGAAGCCCGTGATGTGAGCAGAGATGGACTTCATGCTACCCTTCCTCTTTCTCTCAAGCACTGCGTCTTAGAAGTCAAATGAAAAACTGAGTGTCGTGTGCGAGTGAACAGTGTCTTTTTTCTCGGCAAATCAGCTTCAGGATGGATGGGGCCTGTTCAGCTTGGAAATCTAAAGTTTGAGGCTTTCTTAACAGATTATTTGGGAATTTGATCATATGTGACAGGCGAACTGCTTCGTATCATCATTCAAACGCAGCGATCTATACTTCTAAAGCGACTATAGATTGTCGTTGAAGTATCTTCACTACTCTAAAGGACACGCCATAGTTTAATCAAGCTAATGTGGTCAGAATGTCAGGATTCCGATAACGATATATTCGGAATGTATTCAGCATATTTGTACAAGCACTTTCCCAATTCTTGAATGAAGCGCCGATCATTGACAAGGCCTACCCCTATCATGAATGTTTGACAGATTTTTTATAAGCCAGCTTGTTGGTTTCCAAAGAATGTGCTCGGAATTTTAACAAATTATTCCAGAACGTCTTTTAGAAAAAATAAAATACAGCTTTACATTATCAACAAATCCCAGATAAATTATAAGCCAGACCACGAAGTAACTCTGATATGTTTCGGTGAGCTCTTGGTAAGATAAATGGGGACTTTACGGAATCACCAGCTCATGTGTTTGTTCCATGTCTACTCTAGACACATTTTTTACTGCTTTCTCGATTCCTGAACATACAAAAACATGGAAGTTGTCTTGCGTAGATCCGGTATCCTATATAGTTTTAGGCAGCGAGAAAAAAGGAAAACTTTGGGGCAATTATACGAACCTGCTTGCGGGAGCGCACAGCAAGACATACTTGCGAAGGGACTTTAGCTTTACATTCTATCTACCAACAACCTTCACTTGCTACACATTCACATCTGATACCGGAAACTACAGCTTGACTGTGTCGTGTGCCATCAATATCATAGGAAGGAGCCGGGTTTTATACATCAGAAGAAATGCGACAGACGTAGCCTTTGCCAGGAAAAAGGAGTTCATCGGAGATACAGTTGTCGCGTCCAGGAGCCCTATTTCATGCACCGCAAAGAAATCCTTTTTTGTTACATTATTTCTAGACGCTGATGCCAATATGTCGTAAGCCCTACGCCCGACGCAGTTCTCAACTCCCTTAGCTTACTTGCTCTTGACCATGTGCTCGATCAGATCCAACACACGCGAGCTGTAGCCCCACTCGTTGTCGTACCACGACACAAGCTTCACAAAGTCGTCCGTTAGGGCAATACCAGCCTCCGCATCAAAGATCGATGAGCGCGAGTCGCCAATAAAGTCGCTCGAAACAACAGCTTCCTCGGTGTATCCGAGAATGCCCTTCATTTCGTTCTCAGAGGCCGACTTGATTGCAGCCTTGATCTCGTCGTACGACGCAGGGTTTACCAGACGAGCAGTCAGATCCACCACAGACACATCAACCGTAGGCACACGGAACGACATGCCAGTCAGCTTGCCGTTCAGGCTAGGAATCACCTTGCCCACAGCCTTGGCAGCACCAGTAGAGCTCGGGATGATGTTGAAGCAAGCACCACGGCCACCACGCCAGTCCTTGCTCGACGGACCGTCCACCGTCTTCTGCGTCGCAGTCACGGCGTGCACCGTCGTCATCAGACCCTCCTTGATGCCGAACTTGTCATTCACCACCTTGGCCAAAGGCGCCAGACAGTTTGTCGTGCACGAAGCATTCGACACCACGTGCATATTCTTCTCGTACAGCTCATGGTTGACGCCCATCACGAACATCGGCGCATCGCCCGACGGAGCCGAGATCACAACCTTTTCTACACCATTCTTCAAGTGCACCGATGCAGCGTCGATGGACGTAAAGGCACCAGTAGACTCGACGACGTACTGCACCTGTTCCTCACCCCACTTAATGTTGGCCGGGTTCATCTCGTTGAACACACGGATGGGTTTACCGTTCACAAAAATATGCTTCTCGTCGTGCGAGATCTTACCATCGAAGCGGCCGTGAACTGTGTCATATTTAAGCATGTATTCCATGTACTTAATGGCGATGAACGGGTCGTTCACGGCTACAACGTTGATATTAGGGTTCTTGTCTGCGGCACGCAGCACCAGACGGCCTATACGACCAAAACCATTTATTGCGACGTTAACCATGGTGCTTATTAGATACTTGCCTATGACCTAATGACGTCTGTTTCGTAATTCGTGGGCCACCAATTAAAGTTATTTACCGTGCTCCCTATAGAAGTTATAACTCTAATTTTCGATAACTTGTCGAAGGTTAAAAATTGTCGTACTATACATTGGGAAAATCAATTAACTAAAAAGAACTAAATAGTGGACAAAGGACATCCATCCAGCCTCCAGCTGAGCATCGGCAGCTCTGTTCACGGCTTGATCAACATCGTCTTGGGCAACCAGGACGCCAGCATTACCATTGCGAGGGCCCTCCTCCGCTTGTTGATGCGGAGCAACAGGTACGCTGGATTGTAGACCGCATTGTGGATCACGAGGACCCTCCACAACCAGTACTGCAGTCGGCTCATGAGAAGCGCGCGGTTCCATCCGCGTGCAGGTACCGAGTACGTTAGCTTGGATTCCGTCCCGAGCAGGATACATGGGAACCACGTTCCTTACTCCTTCGTGACGTTCCAGATGTGGTTCAGTCGTATGAAGCCACGAAGTCGGGCTATTCCAAGGCGTACGCGCACGCGTACGCTCTCGTGACAAACTAGAACAGTAAGGAGATCCACGTCGACGAGAACGAGAACGATGACGCGAACGAGAACGATGCCGTGAACGAGAACGTCGTGGTGAATACGTATCATGACGATCGCGAGGCGAGAATCGCGAAGCAGGACGGGCAGGCGAACGTGTCGCTGCCCTGCGCTGATTATTTTGCGGAGATTGATTTCGCTGTCGCGAGTGGTGCTGCCAGCGAGGCGCACCACGAATAACTGCACTCCCCCGTTCGCTCAGACTTCGCTCATACTTTGCAATCCAACTTCGTTCGTGTTCGCTGAGTGGACACTCAGCGATGTGTCGTCGCCATTCGTCATGAGTTGGGCGTGGAGTCGAGTCACAAGACTGGAATTCTTCATTGAAATGAAGAAGCAGATGCGGTCCTCATTCCAAGCATCCTCACACACTCTTTCGCGTAGCGCGCCGATGGAGTGATTGGCGCGAAGCTCTTCTTGATTGGCGAGCCATAATTGGAAGCTGCTACCATCCTCGAGCATCCGAGGATGAAGGCACACCAAAAACGTTGTAGAGCTTCATGCTCGATTCCATCAAGACCTTTCCCGCGCAGTTTACGAAAACGGCGGAAGTAGTCTCGCATCGTGTTCAGTGATTCCGGAGCGTGAGCTCCGGACAAGTCGTACAGTAACCAAAGTATGAGTTGCCGCGCCATAATGCTGGTTGTTGCACTCCCGCTGACGTTCCTTGGGAGTGCTACAGGATTTGGTGTTGGGTCTCTGGACATTGCTTGTTCGTTTGTGAGCGATGAGGTTTCGATAGTTGAGCACTCACGGTTGGTGAGTGCTGTCTTGAGAAGGGGGTGATGTAATGGGCTACATTACACACATAGTTAATACAAATAAACAATTACTTGTGTAGACAGGTTCTGGGCCCTAATAGCGGGCACATCGTGGCTAATTATTGGTTTATTATTGGGGCTTAAAGTCCCAATATGGACCAATGATAAATCAACCTGAATTTGTGTGGTTCCCGAAAGGCGGGAACACTGTCGTATTTATTACGACTAAAATCTTCGTAGCTAGTACGAATTTAAACCAAAAAAAATCGGAGTTAATTTTACTTAATACCTACTACTTGGGCTTGAGTCTTCCTCAAGCGCGCGTGTAAGCTAGTGACAGTACGTTCTAGCCCCGTTACGCCAGATACGGTATTGGTGGTAGACGAATCGGACCGGTTGGATTTTGATGAGGCTCTATTGATAGAAGACAGTTGGTTTGCGGAACTGAAAGATGACGAATACGAAGTGAAAAAACTCTCGACAGACGTATGGGAAGGAAAACGCGGTACGGACGGATCCAGTGTGAATACCTGGTACAATGGAAGGATATCCTGACCCGTCGTGGGTGGATGAGGTGGACCTCAACTGCGGAAAATTGCTTAGGTGATATGAGCGCAGGAAGGATACTCGGAGCCGATTTGAGGCAATGCAGAGTAGTGGGAAAAGTTCATCTTGGAAAGGCCAAGATGATGCGAGAAGGAGGCGGTATTTGTTATACATTAACAAAGGGTCAAGTAACTATATTCGAGAGTGCGGCAGCGCAAAAGAGATTGCGAAGTATTGTGAGACCCCGAATGCCGAGGGCCCAGAGCCCAGGGTACAAGGCCTAGAGTACAAGCTCAAAGAAAAGGAGTGTGAAGTTACGGGGAAGAACATTGAAGCAGAAAAAGTATTACGAATACGTGGGAAGCTGACTGGCTAAGTATTTTGCGTATCATTGGTCGTGTGAAATTTGCCAGAGAGACGAGGGACCTGGAAGGCGGGGTGTTCCTAAATGTTCTTGCGATCGAGCACGCGCCAGGGTACAGTGTCGTCTGCTTTATGCAAATCCTCCAAAAAACTCAACTGAGGATCCTCCTTGGTGACAATCGGGTACCAAACGGTCAGCTGACGGGTCGGAATCATGGGCTGGAAGTAGGGGTCAAGAAGAACGTCCAGGTCAAAGTGACCGGCCTTCATCCCTCCAAGACCTTCTCAAGCACTTCCACCCAAGCCCTCGCGGCATTGGCCCGCAGGATCTTCCTCGCATTGAAAAGCCGAGAGGCGTATCGGCTCTTCGTACGAAGTTCGGCAGAGAGAGGAAGTCGGTGTCGGTTTTCCCATAAACTCTGGCGTGACGCGTCGACGTAAGCATCATGGAACTTCACGAGGTCGCTAATCCAGCCGGACACTGAGAAAGAAATAGGATTTACGGTCACGACCCCCTGGGCCCAAGGACGCGAGTCCATCAAAGTTGAAGTTGAGAGTCCCTTATGAGGCCTTCGCTCCAGACTGAGAGTTCGAGACTTCTGGTCATCAGAAGCACCCATCCAAGATAGTGGAAGCGATACCTTGGACCAAAGATCCTTTGGCGTCAGCTGGGTGATAATGAGGGCCTCTACCTGGGAAACTGAACAGGGTGCAACGTCTTCCACGGCGAACGTGCTGGGTTTTGCATAACCAGGAATGGAGGAGCCCTGGAGGTTATGGTCTGGAGTATCATCACGGGCGAGACCCTTGCCGGCGGACCCTTGGATGTTGGTGCAGGATATTTGCTGGCTGGACCCTTGCTGCTGGGACCCTTGGATGGTGGTGCGGGACCCTTGGTGGCTGCTGGGATCCTCGGATGGTAGTACGGGACCCTTGCCGGCGGGGCCCTTGCTGTTAAGATCCTTGGATAGTGAAGCGGGAACCTTGCTGGCGGTACCCTTGCGGCGGGGACCTTTAGGCGCCGAAGTATCCACCCTTGCTAGCGGGACCTTTGGCCGGTGACTTCCTCTTGGCGTTGCTATACTCGTCACTCTCAGTTTCAGATTACTGTGGTGGAGTGGGTTCTTAAAATTGTATGATGAGACCCCAAACCACTCACTGTGCCGGACTGCCGACTGTCGGAGGGGGTACCCCGATGCCGCGTATGAACCTTCTCTCACCTTGTGTACCCGTCGGCTGGCGGGTTGCACTCTTCGGAGGACTTGGTGACGATGTAGATGTCTGCCTTGAGGGAGGTAGACCTGGGGGGCCTCGAGTGGATATGCTTCACTCGGTGGGCCGGTAGGTGGCCACTCGATCGACCTTGTCGAGAGTGGACTTAGAGCCAAATTCTTCAGGGAGCTTGTCGTCCCTGGCCTTTTCCTTCTTGTTTCAGGGGTATTAACCACCTGACCTTTACGTTGCTCCCGGACCTTGAGGTGAGGGAGACCGCTTCCGATAGCGGGTCTTGGGGGGTGTTGCTACTCGAACGAGCTCACAGGCCAAATATATCCTGGAGCTCTATTCGCACTTGAACTTCGCTACACAACTGTCTTCGACGGGGGGCCAAAATTCATCCCTTCCCGGAACAGTGAGTAGCTTAGAGCAAGTTCTTCTTGGGTGACGGAGTCGTGCCACGTGGGGTTCAGCTCGCACTTGGCTCGGACCACACGCCTGTCTTCAACGGGGGGGGCCAAATATATCCCTTCCCCGGAACAGGCGTGTGGCCAGACTAGAGTTCCTTTACAGCGCGACGAAGACTTGCCAAGTAGATCGCAAATTGAGTAGTATTTAATATAGTCCTATCCTTTTAACTCCTTTACTCTATCCTTTCCTGAGCTCGGATTCCTTGCGTCGACTGGTCTGATCCTTGTATTAACTGGTCAGGAGTAGCTGAACCCCGAGGGGCCGAGGTCGACCAATGAGGGACCGGGTCGACCAATGAGGGACCCAGGTCGACCTATGAGGGACACGGGTCTACCAACGAGGGGCCGGGTCGACCGACGAGGGACCCAGGTCGACCAATGAGGGACCGGGTCGACCGATGAGGGACCGGGTCGACCAATGACGGACTCAGGTCTACCAACGAGGGACCGGGTCGACCGATGAGGGACCAGCTCGACCGACGAGGGACCCAAGTCTACCGACGAGGGACCGGGTCGACCAATGAGGGACCGGGTCTACCAATGAGGGACCGGGTCGACCGATGAGAGACTGGGTCTACCGACGAGGGGCCGGGTCGACCGATGAGGGACCAGGTCGACCGACGAGGGACCCAAGTCTACCGACGAGGGACCGGGTCGACCAATGAGGGACCGGGTCTACCAATGAGGGACCGGGTCGACCGACAAAGGACCCAGGTCTACCGACGAGGGGCCATGGCCAACCATCCAAGGAGCTTTCTATTGGCTGAAAATTCAACCAATCAGAAACCTGGATTTTCGTTGGTTGTCCACGCGTCACCGTTTCGTGAGCTTGCTGTTTTTGCTCCGCGCTCCTCGCTCGGGACTTCAGCAGCGCCGCACCTGTCGGTCCCAGTGGCATCCTGGTTACATAGCTAGTAGCAGATGAACTTTGCGACGAGTGCTAAGCCGTGACTTGTACAGTAGAACTTGGGTCGTTTTGAGCGGTAGTCACTTGCGCCCCTAGTCTTCCTCCGGTCACAATC